GGAGAGGATAGATAGTAGAGGAAGCAGAGCCACTCATCAACCAAGCTTTTTTTCTCACAGTTACAAGGTGTGCCGCATTTTTAACAACTATGTTTTAACATAAAAAAGAAACAAGGATAACCAACTGCTTTTTTTTTTTTAACAATCATAACCATCTTATATCATCTAAGTGGGAATGTATGCATTTAGGAAACCTTAAATAATTTGATATACAATTAATGAGGCAGTAAAACAGTTGATATCTTTAATAACATTTTGATACATAAAAGTGGCTTATAATTTGACCATGGTAATACTTTTTCTGTGTGCATATTTCCTGAAGGACAGCTAAATTGCGAAGGTGGCCTTCCACAGTTCAAAGGTCACACATGTACAGATGTCTTCGGGTGTTACCTGCGGTCGTTGCCCAGGACATCAAAGAAGCCAACCTCTGGTGAAGCATCTGGATTGTAAGGGCCCAGTAACACCTGTTTGTGCAGAGCTACCAATCGAAGCTTCTCCTCATAAGTGGGGTGGAAGGCCTTGCCATCTTTATCTGGGAACAGCGAGATGGAATCAATGAGTTTGCATCCGTTTTATTTCCATGCAGCAAAAAGCCAATACCACAGTTCAGTATTAACAAGAACTGTGGTTTTTAAAAGATAACAATTACAGTCAGACACCGACAATAACTTAGCAAGATCACTTTAATCCCCCTGAAACTTCAGAAATACAAGGTGAGGCAGGAATCAGCTCTATTCAAGTTACGAAACTGAGCCTAACCCTGACTGACTAGAAATACATTGCACAGATTACCATAACACTAAGTGGCAACCAGGCCAAACCTGTTTGCACAGTCGTCACAATGGACACGTCCTGATAAAACAGTACAACAGTCTAGTGTTCAAATAGCTTATACATGTCCCTGACAACACACGCTAGGTTTAGCCACAAAAAGGCTGAACATGATGCCTATTGACGCGATAAATCAATCATTTCAATTATGACAGGTAGCGTGATATACTTGGATACGGTCTGCTGGTTTCACTCGCTGTGTCTTCACAAAAATGTTATGAAGGCTTAACAGATGAGTATTGATTTTTCAACTTCTTGTAGCTCCAATAATACAATTGTTCTGCTTTCAGCAAAGTGACACTACAGTGTCCATTGTATTCCTTTAAAAGAGGAATTATTTATTCAGACTGTCGTGGTTAAAAAAAATATACCTTCCAGTTCCGTAAGCATGGATGTACAAATCATCCGCTGGCATGTTTTCCTGTATTTCCTGAAGAAAATAATACTGGCAGCAGCAAGGGAGTGGTAGAGGAGCAGGGTTAGTGGTCATAGAGCTCTGCAAGCCCGAGGGAAAGGGTAGCTTTAAGAATCATCATGAACTATGGGGACATGGATCTGTGGATGTAACCTCAATACTGCACAGCTTTTCATTTAACAAGAGAAAGATCTGTGTCAGCTGCTGTCCAACAGGCTGTCTTCAGTCCGCAGCAGTGCCAGGGGGAGGGCGTGTTTGGCTCCCAAAAGAAATCACTATGAGCCACCCATGCACTTTAGGATGGCTCGATTATTACATTACGACCCTTTTTTATTTAGTTGATGGAGCAGTTCTCATGATAAACAGACTCATGACAGGTGCATAGTAGAGACACAGCAAGACAAAACAGCGCGCTGGGGAAAAAACAAATGTTCTCACGCCACAAATGGGCCACACTCGGGTGTTGCCGTGGGTTGTTTGACCCGTGTTAGCTGTCTTGGCGTCACGTTAGCTCTGAAGCTAATGTAGCGGTGCGGCTGACAGCAGGGATCCCTGACAGCAATCTGCTAATGTTAGCCAATAGCTTAGCGTCTCGTATTTTTTTTAAAGGGTCGGTTCGCAGTCTAGCGGTTCCCACGCGTCACAGCTGTCAAGAGGATAACAAACGTCAAGTACCTTTGAAGAATTTAAGGCCCATTCCGTAGAGCTCTTGTAGAGGAAAGCCCCATTTGCTCTCTATCGCGGATTTGGCAGACTCTCCATCTTCGCCTTCCGCGGCGGCACCCGGCGTGTCGGCCTCCGGTTCCTCGGGGCTGGGGTCCGGCTCCTCCACCGGGACCTGCTCGCCCTCCGGGTCGGGACTGAGGGTGAGGCCATCGATGGAAACTTCGAGCCGGCTGGAAGTAGCGCTGTCGAGGTCGCCGCTCTGAACCTCTGTCGCCATCATGTAGACTGTCAGCTGAAGCGGCCACGTACCTACTTCCGTTTAGACTTGGCGGAAGTTCCGGGAGATTTTTTTTTTTTTTTTTTTTTTCCCCCCTACGTAAAAGCGAAATAATGACGACGCTTTAACCCACGGGATAAATATTTACAGACAACGCGATTTTAATAACTCTCAGGACTTAAATTCTTTGCTACTATTTGTGGTTTTATTTAGGAAAACAAAATACATACGTGGTGAAATTTGTGATTCTGTTTGAAGTTAATCCTCTTTCACAAACCACAACGCTTTTTAAATATACATCCAGTTCAGGGACAATACCTATAAATTGATTGATTTATTACATTTATTTCAGACATAACAAATAAAATCAAACATATCAAAAATACAAAACAAAAATGAAAAGCACGAAAATACAATAAACAAAAAACAATGTTCAAATTATTTCACAAAAAAAATAAAAAGCAAATTACATACACCTATAAATTGTCTATGGCGGCAAATTCTCACACAAATTCAAGCAGACAAAATAAACTACATTTTGTTAAATTATAGCATGAACAGTATTACAATATTTGGGTGTTTTAATAATATTTCAATAGGGTTTTTGTGGTATTAGAACAAAAACAGGGATCTTTGAATTTTGGTTATGAAATTATATTTACACAGGTGAAAATGTGTTTGTAGCCAAGCTTTGTACTAACATAGGTTATATGGTCCTCCTAACTCCTTGAAAAAAAAAAAAAATCAAATACACAATGACTGGACTCATAACAAAGGCCCATAAGACAGCTGACATTATAACATGTAGCTGCAAACTTGTGAGGATAAATGGCCTGTCTGTCTGCTGGTTAAATGTATAGTGGTTTAACTGTGGGTTAGAGAGCGGTCAGGTGAGGTGTGAATATGCTTTTGTGTGTGTCTACAAAGTCAACTGCCAACTGGAAATGGCTGGTACTGTTTGTGCTATTTAATGTTTGGAAGTTGAGTCAATATCTGCAAGATTTAACTTTAGCATTAATCTAATTAAATAAAATAAAGCATCGCTATCAGAGTCTTCAAGCTGAAAAATCAGTTAAAATACTGAAATAACAGCAGAAGTGTGTTCAAATTAGAACTTGTATTGATTGTAGCTGGAGCTTTCATGCCACAGATAAATATATGAGGCTTTTATGGCTTTTATGGCTCATTTTCTAGATATAGCTCTGGATTTTCTGTCATTGTACTATAACAAAGATCAGGAACTTCAACCCCCTGATTTTAGCATATCTGCTCTGTACATGAAGGCAATACCCAATTAGGGCCCTAAGACAAAGCCACCTTTGAACCATGAACGTCTGTATCAACAACAGGCACATCCTACATGAATGATGCTGCGAATGTCAGAGTACAGAGATCAAAAAGCGGATGTTCAGAATTGACACAATGGCTGTCAAGTATTTTGGTGTTTTTTTTAGCTGTATTTTTTTAGGTCTACATCAGACAGAATAATAAAACTCTGACTCAGTTTGCCAAAAGCAAAATCTACGTCTCAATGATTTAAACTCAGTTACATAATAAATTACATGAGTCAGGCTGCAGGAAAAGTTGAGCAATCATTTCATACCGCAATGTCATGTCACCCCACACCCAAAGTGATTAAATATCATTTTACATTTTCAACATATAATTGCCCAACTATTTACAAAAATAAAATGATAAATCAATTTGGATTATTTTCCAAATCGTGTTCAAATATGTGTGAACAAATTAGTGTGTCTGTGTTGTGACTGACCTATTGACTTGATCCCCCTCTGAGTCAAATGAAGGTGACCCATTCAGTAACAAGTGCCCACTCCAGAGAGCGTTTGAACTCAGATTTGTGTATTGACATGGACTTTGTTGTCACTAAATGAGGCAGGAAGCAAAATTTCCTACAAACATTAGAGGAGCTGACATCTAAACACCTGGATATTTAAAAATCTTAGACATAGCCGTAGGTAGCTAAGTCAAAGGAAACGTTTCTAGAGAGAAAATTAAGCCATGTTGCAGATTCAGAGTCAATAAAAGATGTAAATATAATTGTTTATGAAACAAGGTGTCATATATTAAGAAAACATTCGTTTACACTTCTCCAACATATGAACGCTGTGTTTTATAAACACTTAGTTATGTGAACAAATTCAATAAACACATTCATATTTGCCCTTTCACTTTCAAAACGTGACATTGGCAAATATCAAAATATGTTTATATTCGTTTTAAAGATATATCTACAAGATATTTTGTTTCAAACAGATTTTTGAAACAGTGAAAAAAACATTCATGCATATAAGATGCATGCAAATGTTCTTGTAATAGAAATATTAAGTTTCAGGTTCATAACTATCAAATTAGACTGATTGAAGAAAATATAGGTTTTTTAAAAAAATGAATAGGTGTAAATATATTTTGTAAAAAGTAAACTATATACGCAAACTCTCCAAATAAAAATAGTAACAATAAGAGAAAATGGGGGGGGGGAGTGTTTACTTTCTGCAACATGACATGACATATAGACTGAAGATGAACAGAGCAGGAAAATGTGTTAATTTGTGTTATCTATATTCGACAGATCTTGTGAGGCTCCGAGGAAATGGCAGCTTCCGACTGCAGCTCTTTAAAGGCTACAGGTCCATTATTGCTTTATCCATGCCAGAGAGGATAAATGTTTTCACTGCTGATGTGTATTGAGCCTGCAGATTCCATTAAAACCCCTATAAAGAGACCTGCGGCCGCTGCAGCGTCCCAGGTGTGAGGCCTTCACACCTCACGCGGCCTGCAGACGTCTGAAGTCGCTGCACGGCCGCTGCAGTGCCAGCCGGCCCTGATGGTCGCCCCATTCACACGTACCGGCAGCAGCACCTTTGATCGCAGGGGTATTTAACCCCAGTGGGCGCACGGGACTCAAACTCAGTCAGTCTGTGGAGATAAGACAGTAGGGATCATGTCTTCAGTTCATGGGAATATGCGCGTCGGGGATCTGAATCCTTTCCAGATGTATCATGAAGGAGCTCTGCAGATGAGCAGCACGGTGAATCCAGGTTGGTCAAAACTACATTTTTACATCTGAAACGTTTTTTTTTTATTATTATTATTTGTTGACACAATAGATGCCTGCGTCGTGGTTCTACGTGAACGGCCACATTGCAGCTCGTTCTGTGCGTAATTTACGCACAAGTCACGCGTCTGTGATTCAAAGTCATGTAACACTTGTTTGCTTAAATTTCCAGATTTCGGAGCCACAGGTGTTACACACTACTTCAGCTCTTCAAACTCAGTACAGAGGGCGGATAAATGCGTGGCAATCCTGACCCACAGGAGGAAGAGGACTAACTTCACCCAGCAGCAGATTGAGGTGCTGGAGAAAGTTTACTCTGACACCAAATATCCTGATATCTACCTGCGAGAGAAGCTGGAGGCGCTGACCGGGCTGCCTGAGTCAAGAATTCAGGTAATGACTCTATCAGATCCCAACCCTGATAACCTGACCCAAACATGTGGGAGGATTTTATTCAATATGTGCTTCATATTCTTACGTTTGTTTTGTTTATTCTTCCCCATAATATACTAGGTGTGGTTTCAGAACAGAAGGGCAAAATCTCGTCGTCAAGTTGGGTCATCGGTGTCCATGAAGGTCGCCAACACGCCTGCAGCTGGACCCTTCAGTCAAATCCAGAACCGACTGGTAACAGAAAAAGGTAATCTTAACACAAAAGAATCACAAAAATATGGTAGTCCTTCGATTAAGTTGAAAAGTGTAATTTATAGTATCTTGATTCATCTCTTGTAGTTTTTAGAATCAATAGATATTCAAGTCCTTACATGTGTGACGAAAATGGCTATTGCAACTTGAATGTCCTTTTTGGTGCATTCCTATATTTTACTTATTGCTTTATCTTTGCATTCTCCTCTTTCAGTTTTTGACAACAATCACACAGCTGAGGCCCACAGGACCGCAGGCTTTGGATTTGAGGACTGTTTCAGACCCACAATGCACCAGAACAGAGAAGATACTCACAGGACCAGCATGCCCACCAAGCCCAGCAGCAGCTGCAGCAGCAACTACGAGCAACCGCCTCTGTCCTGCATCTACGACAAAGACGGACCCAGAGTGAAGCCTGAGCAGATGCAACACGAGCTGAGTGTGAACGTGCCGTGCTGTAACGTGCACCTGTATCCCAAAGCGAACGAGAATCAACATGCCAACATGACAGGCAGCCAAGGTTCGAAGGTTCTGGTGGAATATGACAATTTCCCTCCAAACAAGACCATTGGACCAGAGATGAAGGTTGTGATTCCTCCCATCCCGACCCCGAATAACTTCAGCAGGTCGTCACCAAAGGAGAATGGATGCCAAATTCAATATCCACGCATGAGGAGCACAGGGGACAGGTTCAGTCACTTCTCCCCGCTCCATGGCCATGAAGCGCAGGACTTCACTGACTCAGACTCTGACTGGGAAAACGAGGCCATGGCCAGCTTTGGTGGCTTCATGTGATGCATGAGAAGAGATGATAGAAAGACATACACATGTCTCATAAGAGGCCTCCATCTGTGTAAGAGGATTCATTTGTATTTATTGTAAAATAGTAATAAACGTGTAAAATCAAATGTGAAAAAAAGAAAAATGTTGATTTGTTTAATATGTAAATAAAAAAAAACTAAAGATTTGAGACCGAATCCTGCTTTGCAATATTATGTTTAATATAAAAAAGACAAACATTTATATACAACTGCCCTCAGACACTCACATTTACAACTTTACAAAACTTAAAAAGGAGATTCTCTTGGGAAAAAACGGTTGAGTCAAACTTTCAGAGGTTACATCAGTGATGCAGGCTTAGTGTGTGTGTGTGTGTGTGTGTGTGTGTGGGGGGGGGGGGGGGGTGCAGCAACAGCCATGCCAAATATGGAAAAGCTAAGATAACTTTAGGGAGTAAAAGGCATCCAAACCATAGAGTTCTCCTTTATAAAAATACCAAAATCTCTTTTCAGTGCACACAAAATTACAAAAGCCATTTCTGAATACATAGCAGAAATGTTGACGATAGTCCTAATAATCAGATATTGTACAATTATCTACAAAAAAACAATTTTATAAAACATTCTTTAGCCTCCCTGTGCTTACCGTCAGTGGAGCAACAGAACACAACACTTAACAGGGGGAAATCTTTACAGGTAGGAAAATATTGTTTCAGAACCATACTCACCTACTCAAAAATAAATAAATATGGACTATAAAAACTGTAAGAATCGATGTTTGGCACATTAAACCAATAAATAGCTGGGAGAGTTTGGAGATGAGAGTGGATTTGTGGCAATAGTTGAAAAACTTTCAGGTTTGTGTTTGATGTGTGCACAAACATTTTCATACAATAAAATGTGTGGGTAAAATACATGTGACATCCTCCCTCAGCACAAAGATACAGGAGTCTGCTCTGTGATGGTTCACAACTTTCTTTTTTTTGCAGTTTTCAGACAGTTCAGGTGAAAGCACCATCTCAAAAAGACCACACACCTCTGTGTGTATGCACCTGTATGTGTGTTTGTGTGTGTGATGTTCCGATGATGTAGGGTCTCAGACTGCATTAGTGTTGTTGGCGGAAAATGCATGCAGGTTGCCCAGCTGACTTAGACCGCTCTGGATGTGTGCCACGTGGATCTCCACATTATTCTGGAAACAACTAGAAAAAACAGACGAGACAACGGTTAAAGAAATGCTCGATTTGAGGCTATGACGATCACAAAATGGAGATTTGTAGGTGGCACTGTATTGTATTATAACAACAATCCAAGTTGCTATTGTGTATTGGATAGAAATACAGAAAACCTGAGTTTACCTGAGGTTGGAGGGATCAATCGATGCCTTGATATCATTAAGGGAGTCTGTCAGAGATTTAAACTCAAAAGAATTCAAGTCTCCACCATCGGCCAAACACTGTAACGAATCAAAAACAAAACACCTTTTTAAAGTGAAAAAGTTACTAAAGTAACACAGCGGTGGGTACACCTACTGTCCTCCCTGTCATCCATTCACATATCCTCTACCTTGATCTGTAGCAGCAGGGCGGTGAGGCGGGATATGAGGTGTGTTAGGCCAGGGTTTGTCACAGTCTGCTGTCCGTCCTTCAGTGAGCTGCTCATCTGCACCATCTGCTGGGCCTCGTCTTCACAGCGCCGCCGCAGCTCTGTGGGATGGTCAACTGGAACCATGCCCTGATCAGGAGCAAGCTGGGCAGAGACATGGATGCGTTTGATTTTGATGCTTGCAGAAAAATGATAAGGGCCACTGCATTTCTTTTGAGGTCTGACTTATCTCTTAAAATTCTGAGGAAAAAGTGAACAGGCGCTCTAATCTTCTTCGTAGAGGCTAGAAATGTTGGAACAGGTCATAAAAATTCGATGTAAGTATAACAATATTACTGGAGTGTATCAGTTGACTAACCTCACAACAGAACTGCTGAACTTCATGAAGCACCTTGTTGAGATCTTTATTAAGCTGTTCGAGCTCAAGCACTGTGGTGGCATATCGTTTCTGGAAGTCTAGGTCGATGGGCATCGAATAAGACTTCTGAACACAAAAACAAAATCATAGTTTAAAGTTAGGGTTGTTATTTGCATCTCAGACACAATACATGAATCATCTTTAATAATGAGGATGTACCATTTTCTCAGCTTCTGTGTTCATTTCTTTCAAGTGCTTGATGTGCTCTTTCTTTATCATGAGGATCTTGGACAGCCTTGTCTAGTCATTCAAAAAAATAAAGATTTGTAAGAACAATGAATAACAGAAATTTTAGGATGTGTATTTAACAAGAAGTAATTTTACCACTTGGACAAGGAATTTGACAGGAAATCCTCCCAGAGTATCTCCCTCAGCTCCGGGCAGTTTGTTCCTCCATGGTGACTGGTTTATGAGAGAGTCATTGTCCTGTTAGATATAAAAATAAATAAAAAGAGGAGGAATATAGTAGTATGTCCTGTTTCCCCATATGCAGTATTATGACCACTGTCTTAACATTTGTATTTTTATTTGTTTTCTTGAAAATTAAAGCTTAAGCTAATTCAAGGGAAGAAGTTGAAAACTCATCTGTTCTTCATCCGGATAAAATGTTGATGTGATGACTTGATTCAACACAACACTAATCCACCAACTGAATATTTACAATATATAACAAACTCCCTGTGCTAGAAATGCTCAACAAAACCCTCATCAGCTGCTTTCCCATATAGCTTAACTTCCAAAACTGAAGCAGACTTAAACCAGTACCAGAAATCATAAACCACTGTGACGACACAGCACATTACATTCATGTCTACAGTACCATGAGCACAGGAGTGGTAGCGGACGGATAAGGCCCTCTGGGCGGAGTTGTGAGGTTCTGCATGTAGCGGGATGCCCGATGCTTCTGGGCAAAGGCTGTAATAGGCATGGTCTCGTTGGGCTCATTGCTCTGGAAAACAATCATAACCACATGTATTATCAAACTGCTTAGTACAGATATTGCACATCTATGACTTATTCCAGCTTTACAGACTGCATTTCAGGTAGTATTACTGTACTAGCAATAGTCAAAAGTCTAAACACTGACTTGGATACAGTAGATGTGTTATAACAGCAAGCCCCCCCCCCCCTGCAACTCTTACCAGGACTTCGTAGTCAGGCACAGTGTGTGTTCCCAAGCCACTGCGGTCAAAGGTTACACGATATGTTGCAGCGCTGGTATCCACTGCATCTATCTGCCCTGTGAACAAGCCGTCATGGACACCTCGGAGTCGAGCTGTTGAACAAATACAAATACAAAAAATCAATCATTACAGTATGTACTGGCTCCACGATACAAATATCCTTACTTACCCTAGTGTAGATTCGGAAGTGTAGATTTCTTTATCAGCCATTTTACACACAGTGATATTGTTTTGTTTTTTTAGTGGATCTTTTTTTTCCCCAAGATTTATTTTTGGGCTTTTTTGTTTCTTTAATGGAGAGATGGGACAGTGGACAGAGTTGGAAATCAGTTAGAGAGAGAGTAGGGAATGACATGCGGGAAAGGAGCCACAGGCTGGATTTGAACCTGGACCGCCCGCTTGGAGGACCATGGCCTCCATACATGGAGCATGCACTAACCACTGCGCCACCAGTGCCACAGCGGTACTTTTCTTTGATCTTAACATAGTCATGAAAATGATCAATACTCGATCAACACCCATATGAACTAACTGTAGTGTGTGTACATTTCTGTCACCTTACCAGTGACTTTGGTTCCTATGATGAGTGGCAGGGGGATTTCATCTGGAAGGTCTTTGCAGTTTGACACATCAGAAAGTTTTCTTTGCTGCAACAGACGCATCTTCTGCCTTTTTTGTCTCAGCGCTGTCCGCTCCTCGTCAAAGAACGCTGACGAACACCTGGAGGAGACAAGTTACAGCGCTTAATGATTATATCTTTAAAGACTCAGGGTACAAAAATAGTACAACACAAAAGGAAGAAAAAACATCCCGCACTTCAGAATGTAAGACGAGAATGTAAACCAACATAATGAAGGAAATGTTGTGGACAGCTTTAAGACTGCAGCATACCGTCTGGGTTTCCCCATCAGTCTCCTGATTGTTCCCCATTCTACCCGTGTTAACTTCCTTGTTTTCAGGTTTGGGAAAGACTCCTTTAGACACAGGCAGAACTCATTGTCCCCCTCAAAGAGAGGTCTGAAAAAGAAATGGATTTTTCAGAGGGAAACACACAACACAGTTAAAATTAAAATGGTTTATTCAAAACATTGATTTGTAAAGATCTGATGAAATTGCCACTCTGTTACAGCTGACCCTTCAAATTCTGTTCTGTTATTGCACAGTCTAAAAAAACACTTTAAAACATTCCTCAATTGATCTTTTCTGTCATCAAAATGAATTGATTTCTGAAGAAAGGTGAAAGTGAGACTTTACTTGTCAATATTGGAATAGAACCATTCGTAGATGCACCATTTGTGAGCTTTGGGTAGTTTAAGGAGATTTCTCAATCTCAGCCCTATTTTCTGGGACGCCTTCTTATCCGGTGTCATCACGTTTGAAAATTTCTGCAAGAAAAAAAACAGTGAAAACCCCAGTCATTCATGATACTAGTATTGTACACATGAATGTTTGATGAATATTATTACATGAAAGAAAAACTAGAAATGCCTTTAATGGATATACCAGACAAAATCTCATTCAATGTCATTCCCCAAAATGTTTCCCTCAGGGACACATCCATAACTACTCCATTTTCACAAGGCTTGCCAAGTTTACCCTCTCTTGCTTTGCCGCTCCTGTTTAACAAATAAGAGGCAGCAGGAGTTGAGTTCTCTGCAATACCACAATCTGCTACTGTTATCAAACAACGTAATAGCACAATTGTTTTTGGATACACTCTATGCACTTATTTCTCTTTTAAAAGCTCCCATAAATGCAACACATTAAAAGCTTACTGCATTCATATTTTTAATTGCGTTGATCGTGTGCCACTTTGTCCCATTAGGCACACCGCAGCTAAGCCACCGCACTGACAGCAACATCTCCCTCTAGTCACAGTGATGGAAAAGAACAAAACCTCTACCAAACATTTCACTTCTCTTCAGCCATTTTCATTTACTTTCCAATCAGTAACAAGTTCCTTCTTTTCTGTGGTTGAGTTAATGTTATAACCATTGAAGGTACATATAAACAGACAAAGCCTGAGTGACGTCACCCATCTGTTACTGCAGGGGGCTTTCAAAGACTTGAAATGAAGTCTCACCCTTACTTTCAGTCAATCTAACGACAAGTTAAGATGGAGTGGGTTTTAAGTCTCCTGACAAACCGCTACAACGTGCCCGCCTTTCAATTAGGTCCGCTACGCACCTTTTGTGACTAACATTTTTCCTCATACAATCAAAACAGATGAGTTATCAAAAAACTCATCCCCCATATACTTATTTTTTTGCAAATAGAGACATGAGCTAACCAGACCAAAACAAATGGGGTTAATGGCGATCAAGCATTGAATTTCACCGATTAATTTTAAAATAATAATAATGATTGGCAGCTCAAGCTTTCACCTGTGGTGTGGTGGAGACCCTCTGGCTCCTCCGAGGGGACCTGGAAGGGACACGTTGCTGGGGTTGCTCATCCTCCTCCCGAAACAAGCGGCTCCTCTTCGAGCTCCGTGTGGGCTGCAAGGACAAAATAGGAAAGGTAGATTTTTATGAGATCATGTGCAGACCAGTTGCAGGTGTACTAGATCGTCCCCTCAAAACTGCATTTTCACATCACACTTGCATGCAATAATAATACTAAACTGAATAAAGCATTCAAATAAAATGATCCATTAAGTTTATTGCAAAGAGACAATGAGCCAAGTGACCACACAATCAACATCAACTTAACCACGTCCTTATCAAACAGGAGCGCTTTAATTGCTGACAATGTAAATAAAGAGTTAACCTTCTTTCATTCATCAAGCTCATCTGTATGTCTATTTGGTTCTACGTTTTTGTGTTATTAGGCTATATTTACATTTTTAACTTTACTCTGTGGAAGCTAGACACTAAGAGATGAACATGAGATTAAATGGTGTTGAACGTTATTGTACAAATTGACTTACTATAAAGTCAATGTCTTAAAGCTAAGCACTTATAATGCTGATAGAAGGGAGCTTTGTGTGTGTAGCTCTTACCGTGTCCATTGTGAGGGAGGAATGCCTTCCCCGGGTGTTGTGAGCTCTTGGAAAGTTGTTCTTTTCATTCAGAGTGTTGGACAAACTCCCCTCTGTAAAACAAAACAAATATGTTTTATTTGGAATTGTCTAAGGACACCTTATGAAAGTCCTTAGGGGGACCTAGTCATTATCAAATACCCAGAGCTGCAATCAAACTTAAAACTCCTTTCAAATCATCAAAGATGAAACTTAATTTTAACCCTATATCTATAAATGTAAGGTGAAGTAAACATCAGAGATGCTTTGCCACAAGCTGCAACTGTAAGAACTACACTAACTATGGTGATACAGATCTTCTTCCGAGATGGTATTTCTAGGAGCATCCACGTTGTTGTAACCCTTCTGCATCGTCAGCAGGGATATCTCAGGGTCTCAGGTGGTTTCGCCCCTTAACCTGAACACCTCGCCTGAGTGGGGGCAGCGAAGACTGACTAGCCTTCACCTGCAGAAGGGTTCCCAACTGTGGAACGGCTCTCTTCAGCCACGGCCATCTTGAGCTGGACTCGGCTGCTGCAGCTATGTCCCTGCATGAAACTTTAAGCGTATCGATAAAGTGTGCAAGCCCAATCCAATCAATGACTTAATGCTCCTGAGCACTTCCAATCAGGAAAAACTAATGTATAAGCTAGGGAACAGACAGCAGAATCTGAAACAGGATCGTCTTCATTAATCGACAAAGTGATTTTGGGCCAGAAATTGAGACTTCACTCTCCGGCAATCTTAGACGTACTCAGACACAGTGCCAAGAACAAATGTACAGAAACATAAGACAGCTAAAAAAAAAAATACTGCCCACATACCTTTTAGACTGACAAGTGCCTCTGCTGAGGAGCCTGAAAAAGACAAATATGACACCAATCAACAATAACACTCAATCAGGCATCAAAAAACACATTAAATGCAGAACATCTCACACATAAAACAAGATCACAATCCTCTTCTGATTAAGGGACTTTAATTCATTTAGTGCTATCATAGAAACAGCACGTACACGTCTATAGCAGAGTCCTTTAAACCATGTCAGTATCCATGGTGGTGAAGTTGGACAAAGCTTACGCAGAGCCAGTTAGGCCTTAAACCCCCCCCCCCAAAAAAAAACTGAGCTGTCAAACACAAACAACACCTGGAAGAGTGAATTCAACCAAATGATACTTACTGTGTCATAAAACACACACACACACACGTATCGACAGAGAAGGCTGTTTCTAGATGTTGATTATTACGTGTGATCGCTGTACTTTCTCACTGAACAGCTTGTCAGAATGAACAACAACGCGTTACCATGTGAACCAGCGCTAACGGGCGTTAAAATGTACAAAAGAAAAAAGTGACACAGAAACAAAACACGGAGTGTAAACACACGGAGATAACACGACGACACAATGTGAGTCATTCCCACCATTATTTTGTTTCTCACTGCTTGCGATTGTGATGCTAGCAGGCGTTAGCACACAGCTAAGCTAACGTTATTTTTTACCCAGTTCGGCTAAAGTAACTTGCTCAACTCCAACATTAGCCATGGTTAGCCTCCGCTGCTAACAAGCGTTAGCTCCACTTGCACAGACCGGCGTCTCCTTTTCGTCCAATGACCACTTTTATTAACTCAGCCCTGAACAACAACGCGTTACCATGTGAACCAGCGCTAACGGGCGTTAAAATGTACAAAGAAAAAAGTGACACAGAACAAAACACGGAGTGTAAACACACGGAGATAACACGACGACACAATGTGAGTCATTCCCACCAGTTATTTTGTTTCTCACTGCTTGCGATTGTGATGCTAGCAGGCGTTAGCACACAGCTAAGCTAACGTTATTTGTTTACCCAGTTCGGCTAAAGTAACTTGCTCAACTCCAACATTAGCCATGGTTAGCCTCCGCTGCTAACAAGCGTTAGCTCCACTTGCACAGACCGGCGTCTCCCTTTTCGTCCAATGACCACTTTTATTAACTCAGCCCTGGACGTGTGGTGCTCGCTGCGTGTGTTCAGTTATAGCAGTTAACACAAACTATGTCTTTTACTTGAAAAGGGACGGTTTCCGTGTTTACAGTGTGAAAAAAACTCCTTGAATATATATATATTTTTTGTTGTTACTCACTCTCGTCTAACAGCTGGTCCATCTCCGCCATCTTGAATTAGCCGCGCCGCTTTTTCAAAGACCTTGTCAAAATGCATTCTGGGTCGGGACGCTGTCTAAAGGGGCGATTTGAGAAATTAAACAAAAAAAATAGGTTTAACTTAGCGACACTCGCTTTGTTTTATAGATGTGAACACGTTATTATTGTCCTCTCTCAAAAAATAAATCCAACTCAAAGTTCAAATTGTTGCGGAAGATGCCCGAAAACCTGTTAAATATACAATATAGGAAACGTGAATGGACTTCATACACCCCCCCAACTAATGTTTAAATGTTTTTGTCTTCTTTTTTTATTTTTTTATTAACATTTTTATGACATCACAATACAAACAGGAGTGAAACCCCACAACCCAATTTTTTGTCTTCTAATGACAAAAACATGCGGAGAGGTCATTCAATATCGAGACCGTCCTCCAGGTACAAAGTGTTAAATCTTTTGAATCTGCATCTGTCAAAAATATTTCTATTTGCAGATAAGTTTTCTCATCGTCAAACAAAACAAATTAAGGATATTTCTAGCTTCTTGGTAAATGGACATGAGCTTATTTAGCGCTTTTCTAATCTTCTGACTACTCAAAGCACTTTTACACCACTGATGGTAGTGATTGCTATGTACTATCATCCATCAGAAGTAACTAATTCTTTCATTCATACACCACTAGCAATTCAGGGTTAATAGTCTTGCCCAAGGTCATATCAGACATGTTGCCCAGCTGGGGATTGAACCCCTGACCTTCTGGTTGAGAGGTGATGACTCTACCAACTGAGCCCACAGCTGCCTCTCTTGGTAGGAGAACCTGACCTGCAACCAGCCCAAAATAATATATGTATCACATTATATTGACATCTTGACATGTTCCTACAGTGAAATTATACCTGAACTGAAATTTGGATAGATCATACAGTGAAATAAAAAAAAAACACTAAGGCAGGATATTTTAGAACTTTCAATGTTTTGTTTTATTTTCAGGTAAGCGAGAAAAGCACTAAGAAAAAGTGTGCCACAGACCATGGCAGTTGTTTTCTTTTCCAGAATACTTTGCATAAACACAACCACATTGCTATCTTTTCCGTTATCGGCAAGGAAGACAGTTTTTTGACAAACAAAACAAAATATATACATGTCAAACCTTGTACAGTATCTTTGAAACACAAGACTACAAAATGTTCATATAAGCAGCTATTTCACTGAGAAACCCCTTGCAAGATGTGGTGCTATGCCTTATTAACTACAAGTTTAATATAGAATGAAGATTACCACGTCAGACAGAAAACTACTAACTTTTACTGATGTTTATTACTAAACCCAACTCTATGTGGTATGCACCATGCTTTCACCACCACAGAACTGTTTTATGAGCATCTCTGAAATAGGTATTTAGGTACCTAATGTGTTACTAAGAAAGGCTGCCAGCTAGTTAACCTGATGAAAAAGCAATAAAGTGACTAGAGATTTCCAATGACCACTGTGACACGTGGTGAAGCGTCGCTCCTTTGCCAAACATCTTGTTTTGCAGAGAATGAAGCCCAGGCGTTTTGGAGGCAACTCTGGTCTTCGATTTCCGTGGTGAAGGATTAGTAATGGCCCTCTCACCACAGGGACGTCTGGTAGTTAAACTTGATCTTCAGGAGATACTTCATGTTTATCTGCGCTACATCATACACAATGTATCTGGAGGAGTAACAGTTAAGGACATTAACTTTCATTATACAAACACAATGACTTACACAGTTGAAAAAGAGGAACATTTACATAAAGTAGAGCCATAAAAGATTACACGGGTAATCATGGAGAGATCATGGATTGATGCTATATTTGAATAATTTCTACATGAGAAACACCAAACAACAGTTTAAACACCAGATATGATTAATTCCTGTCTTAAAATAATCATTATACTGATACCAACAGTCTAAGTCAGTGATTTGTGTGTGCAAATGCCACAAAAGCTTATTTAAGTGTGTGTGAAACCGAGCTGGTGGCTCAGAGTGCTCTACATTCTGATCGGAAAGTTACAAAATAACTTTTCTCATGTAATAATATAAGTACTAAGAATTTGTTCCTCATATACCAACAGTCATGCAATGCTTTAATAACTAGTTCTCCAACTTTGGTCTAAAATCAGGCAAAATTCCATGTTGTGAAAACTTTGTAAAATAGTGAAATCAAAGTTATTTCATTAATTGACAAACATACAATGTACAGATTTAAAAATGTGGCATCATTTGTAAAAAGGATCAAAGTTATGAACCAGGTGGTCAGTGTAAAAGGATACTCGTTGTACAGTAGACTGGTGTCATCAATGTTAGTGTGGGCTCCTTTTCCAATTGGCACTTGCACCCCATCTAAAGTGACTGAGGCACTGGGATCAGGAGCAGTCCTACCCACACCTGCAAGATTAAGGGAAGTTATTTAATGACAGTTTGCAGCAGGACACAAAGAAATCTTTTAGTTTTAGTTTATTTTTTAATGAACAAAGGGCGCTTGTGTTTCCAAATGCCCCACCACATTGATGAGTGAGTATTTCAATCAAGAAAATATTCAAATATTTCCCCAGCAGTCAGTAAATGAAACGATTGGGCCGGTTCATAAATGCCAGCTGCCAGTACATGTTCTACCAGTCAGCCCTAAATTGCTTTGAGACAGTTTATAAACATAATGCGACCGCTATAACATTCTGAAATGAAAAGCAATATACACAAAAAAAAGATCCATTGAACTAAAAATAAAAGAAAGTCAAAATAAGATAAAGTTTTCTCACCTTTAACACTGTGCTTGCCCTTGGGTAATTTTGTGATGTGGGAGGCTTTCTTCAATTCATGCCTGCATTAGAATAAGGAAGAAACTGTTATGGACACTCATCACATATCGTTGAAGCTTACCAAACAGTTGATGTATGACCTTTCATCTGAAAGAACTAAGCCTGTTACTTACATGTTGCCGAGAGCAACCTCAGCCAGCAGTAAGAGGCCAACAGGATCTGACTGAGAGGTGTGACAGTAGTTTGCACTCTTGGACACCATGTCGGCAAAGTACACACCTTTTCCAAACATGTAACCAGTCTGAAGGAAACAAAGCAGATCAGCAATGAAAAGGAGATACGACATCTATAATAATTACAGAATATACTGGAGTCATTAGATTGTTGCATAAATGTCAGGGGTGCAAACTGATCAGGGATGAAAAAGGTGACATGGATCCAAACTCCCTAGGGGGGTCCGGGGATATTTTTTTTAAAATATCAGCTTTAAAATGTGAATTTACAGACGATTTTAACATTCAGACCGACTAAAGAAGCAGTGCAAACAATAAGAAAAACACAATTGCTTGTCGATATCTATGTTCCGTTTTAACTTTTTGATAAAGTTTCAGTGATACATGAAGAACACATGCTCCCAACCTTCAGTCCCTTTTTATAAATGGGATGAATTTGCAGAACAGGGCTTACCATGTTCTACTAAGGGATGATGTGAAGGGCAGACTCTTTCCAAGCTTGCACACATTTTTCTCAAACGGTAAATATGATCAGACAGGATGTTTAACAGAAAGGCTGGCTTGCTAGCCAGACTTCAAATCTTCCCACAGTGTTTTCAGGGAAAAATAACATTATATAAATTAGCCATGTGCTGCACATTGACTCATTGAATCAGGTTTCACGCTTCTTACGGTCGGTGCAGCGTTATTGCGCAATCGCGAGAATGGTCCGCAGGCGCGGAGGGTCTGAGCTTCAGCCGCGCACCTCCGAGATTTTTGTAGCAACGCGGACGAGTTCGTGCCGACCGCGTTGCAATGATTGGCTGCAGGGCCCGGAAGTACTTTCTTCAGGCCGTGTTGAGCAATCAGAAACGACTTGACGTTCAAGGGGCCGTGCTCGCTGGCCGCAAGAAGCATGACAGCTCGCGTCGCAGATTTACCCCCACCCTCCAAATATTTTTATTGCAGATCTAAATGAATCACACAAATGACCTAATTGGGATCCAAAACGGCGAATTTCTCCGAAAGGTGAAAAGTTTGCACCCCTGAAATGTGGCGTAGCTAGAGGTTCCTAACAATTATGAACTCAGTAAAAAAAACAAAAACTCACCACTGGCGCCTCTGGAGGGGCAATACGCAGACCCTGAGACAAGATACCGGCGTAGTTTGTGGTGCGGGAGCCGTGCCACAGCAGTTGGCGATTGTGTAGCTCCTCGAACGGACGATAGCGCTGATGCTCTCCCTCTCTGACAATTTTAAAGATCTAAAAGATAGGGACAGTAACAGTGAAGATGGTAATTCATGCTGGAAAATAGAGTTACACCAGAGAGTGGATATGACGTCTGTGTAAAGAAATGACTCACCTCTTGCACTTCCAGTGTGTAAGTGTTGTGTGTAGCAGCGTGAGTGTTCTTAACATATTGAATAATGATCTCAGCCTCACGAGTAGTCTTGTCAACAACCTGTTAAAAAAACAAATGATATCAAACCAAAAAGAGAGAAATACATCATCTTTGACACAGCACATCCCTGTAGAAACACAGTGACACTCCTCACCTCAATCTTGGTTTTGAGTTTCTCGTAGTTGATGTCGATGGGATCGCTCTCGTTGTCCTGTGCTCCTCCTCTCAGCAGGCTGTACGCCACTTCAATATCCAACAGGTTGTCCAACATCTGAACTTTAGCCTAAACAGATGTATGTGGATGTAATGATATTGATTAATTAAAAATAAATTAAAAAAAACAAGACAAAACTGTTCAGTAGAATACAGTATTTTTTCCTTACCTGAATATAATCCAGGTTGTTGAGCAGTGGAGGTTTCTTCATTCCGAAGTCGTGAGGTATCAGGGTGTAAAAGCGATTGGAGAGATCCAGTACCTGGGACTCAGGCAGACTATCTGATACAGCCTTTGATTTAAAAAAAGAAAAAGTAACAGATATTCATAAAAAAGATGGGCAGGTCAGAGGAGAAGGGGAAACTATAAATATGTAGCTCAACCATTGCACACAAGTAGCCATGTCACAAATTCATCACAAGATGGATTCTTACTGAATTAAAAATCACAAATGAAATGAGCAGAATTTGTTCATTTGAACTCTAGTGTGTCAAAGAGTCTTTAAAGAAGGGAACCCAAGGGTGAGATGAATAAGAGGAACAGTCGCTTACTGACCTGCTGGACTTCAGTGAGCAGAGAGTAGGCACTCTGGATCTGCCTCTTACTCAGTTTCCCAAGGGGCATCTTCTGGAGGTCAATCTAAGGACAGGAGAGGAGAGGTGATGAGTGATGAAGGAAGTACGCACACACACTTGGGATGATATAAACAATAACTTATCTACGATACAAAAGTAGTTAGAGAGCACTATGCACAAAGACAAACACGCATAAGGTCCTAATTTCATTTTAAATTAAAGTGCCTTCCTAATAGTTTGTCATTGCCAGACCTATCTCCACGCTTTGCTAAATCTGGAAGAAAGCTATGGCGGATCCCATCATAATGCCCCTCGATGGGAAAAAAGGCTACGGGATGTTTTTTCTTCCAACCAATGCAATTTGTTACATGAATGCACCTACATCCCTTAGGAGAAAGGTCATTTAAACACTGATACAGCCTTGTGACAGTACAGATAATTCAGCTTTATTCTATGAAACTAATCTTTGTCCAAAGTCATAATTTTCATCAAGTAATTGAGTACATCAGATGAGGTTGTTTTTTTCATGAAGCAACTCTAATTTGAAAAGGAACACTAAGAAAAGTGCAGCTTTGGTTAGGTTAAAATTAAAAGGACAAAGATGTTGTAGGATGCAGTTTGTAATTTGTACACAAGATGTCTTACCTCGAATTCCACCATGGCCTTTTTCATGCTCTCCACATCAAAGATGTTCTTGATCAATTCCTGGACAGGTTTCGCCAGTTTAGACTTTGTGCCAGCGCTGGCCGTCAGCCTCTTCACCGCTTCCTCATCCTACCGAGAAATGTTAGAAAATAGCTAATCCCTGATACAGAATACTGACTGCAATCTAGCTTCTTTTTTTTTTTGCTATTTTTGTTCTGTGGCTTGTACATACCTGTCCATAGTCAATCTCCAGGGGGTAAAACTTGTTAGGATATTTGGTGAAGTTGGAGGAGCACCACTGATTGCCTGTCTTCTCTTTGTAGACATTCAGGAAGTTGTCCAGAGCCGAGTTTTTGTCGTGAAACTTGTCCAGTTTGTTGCCTCCGATGGTGGTGCCCACTCTGCCCCATGACCTGAACACCCAGTACCTACAAATACAACGAGAGACCGGCAGAAAAGACATACTAGAGTTAGATGTTTTTTTCTGATTCAGTCTATTTTCAATGAAAATGGAGGGAAAAGAAAACATTAAAGTCACAGTCTGCTGCAGTGAGCAAGCTTAGAAGTCCTATTTATTTCACTTTAAGCGTAAATAATGATAAGAAGCCTTATATATATATATATAGCCAGGGGTGCAAACTCATCAGGGATGAAAAAGGTGACATGGATCCAAACCCCCCAGGGCATGCTCCCCCAGGAAGATTATTATTATTATTTTTTAAATATCAGCTTTAAAATGTGAATTTACAGATGACTTTAACATTCAGACCGACTAAAGAAGCAGTGCAAACAATAAGAAAAACACAATTGCTTGTCGATATCTATTTTCTGTTCTAATTTTTTGATAAAGCTTCAGTGAAACATGAAGAACACATGCTCCCAACCTTGAGTCTCTTTTTATAAATGGGATGAATTTGCAGAATAGGGCTTACCATGTTCTACTAAGGGATGATGTGAAGGGCAGTCACTATGCAAGTAGCTCTCAGAGCAGAGAGAACATAATGCAGTCATCAAGTATGACAATATTTTCTCTTCTATCAAAAAACATTATCAATATATTAACCTGATGTTTAGCTCCTGCTGATTCTCATTAAGTTTATATTCCCTCTGGCCTGATTACATTTGTTGACCAGCTGTCACTTTAATGTTGCCTGAGATAATAATGAACCAGAAAGCTGTATGAAGTTACCTTCAAGCTAGCACGCATTTCTCTCAAACGGTAAATATGATCAGGCAGGATGTTGAACAGAAAGGCTGGCTTGCTAGCCAGACTTCGACTCTTTCCAAAGTGTTTTCAGGGAAAAATAACGTTATGTAAATTAGCCATGTGCTGCACATTGCGACTCATTGAATCAGGTTTCATGCTTCTTGCGGTCGGCGCGAGAATGGTCCGCGGAGGATCTGAGCGCCCAGCCCACACCTCCAAGATTTTGTAACAACGCGGACGAGTTTGTGCCGACCGCGTTGCAATGATTGGCTGCAGGGCCCAGAAGTACTTTCTCCGGGCCGTGTTGAGGTGACAAGTTTGCACCCCTGTAAAGCATACACTGGTACCTTTAATAAGCTCAACACTAAAGAAAACAATGCAGTGAAATGTTTTTGTGCAGCAACACCGACCGTTTCTGTACGTCATCCTCCAGCAGTTGCAGTTTATAGTAGGAGTTCGTTCCTCTGACAATGTCGACAAGACCCAGCGTAGCACTGTACATCTTCCCGCTCTGCTCCAGGACATGAGCGCTGTTCTCTAGACCTAAAATCAAAGAATCAAGGTCAGAAGACAAAAATCAAAGTCAAGGGGGGAAAAAAAATGCAGGGTACTCATTACTACCTGAATCTGGATCCACAGCAGCTCCTCCTTTGACTGTGAGTTTCATCGTCTTGCTTTTGCTACCACCTGTAACAGTGTAGATGCAGTGAGTAATAATGATACACAGTCCATGCTATAACACAAGTCGTTGCCTTTAAAATCTATTTCAAGAAGCACCAATCATCCTTCACCTTCCTCCTCCTTCACCCTGCCTGTGCTCTTAGCAGCCAGCGCTCCAGACTTGGAGGCCACAGATGGAGCCTGAGCCTCCACTTTGACCTCTGCTCCCCAGGGTGAGACGGCGTGCAGGGAGACCAGCTCCTGGAGGGCTTTACCCGACGACTTGATGTCTTTGAGGAAATCCTCAGAGACGACCCGCACGCCGGCGTCCCTAGCTTCCTCCATTTTCTTACTCATCTTCTCCACCTCCTCTGTTGGAAGTAGACACGTGATGAAGAAAGCATTCACACATTTATAGCTTTTAGAAAGGACTTGAAGGATTCGATTGGTTACTCACTCTTTGTGCTGAGGCAGAGAGAGGCCTTATTGGCTGTGGCTGTAATTTTTCCTCCCAGCTCCTCCACAGCTACCTTCAGATCATCTTTGTTTTTGGACAGCTTCCCCACCGTCAACAGTTTCATACCAGTAAGAGGTTTGTCTATGGGACAAAAAACAACAACATTTTTCTAAGTTAAAATGTTTTTTTTTTTTTCAATGCTTTTGTCTGGGAGTATCTTCAATACTCAAAGTGTTTTCCCCCAGCTATGAACGTTTTGCTTAATCTTCTTTTTGAAATGAATTCAATATTCAAACCACCGCAGAGTAAGACAACTTTTTCTTTTTCTCCACTGACCTGCAGGTGCTCCCTCTGGCAGCTCCATCGGGGCACGGGATGCACTCGCCAGGGGTTCTGCTTTGGCTGCGGTGAGGGTTTGGGCGGGAGCCTCCTTCGGGTAAACTCTATCCTGCCGCTTGAACTTGAACTTTTTCAGGAAGGGAACTTCGTGGAATTCCTGAAATGATAGTGGTCAAGTAGTAAAATACAAGGATAATGTTTGTCATTTTCCTGCTTCTTAACTCAGTTACTATAGACGTCCATTTTAAGCCATTACAACGACCCGCTCATGGGTAGTGATTCAGCATGGATATTCATACTATAAATAACAAAAAAGTAATCCTAGAATGAGGTGACCTACCTTGGGTATGACCCAGTCTGTGCGTAAAGGTGTAGCCGTTTTGAAAACACACTTCGTCCAGGCTGAGATATCTCCAGTACAGTAATAAGCATCACCTTTGAACACCAGCTGGCCCTTGCACTCCTTACAGGCCTCCAGAGCACCGAAAGCCATGCCATCTGCCAGGGAGTCCACCACCTGTCGACCAAACATCACACGCTGCATCATCAACCTGCAGAATCTCTTTCCACCTTTAAGATAAACCCAGCTCTTTTAGGAATCTACTTATTACACCCCGTGCATTGCTCTGCGCACTGCCTGTCAGCACCTGTCTGATCGCACAGGAAGCTGTTTGTTGGCACCTGCTGACGTTTTTCTTTCCCTACTAGATTTTTGCTTCTGTTGTTCATACTCAGATGAAAGTCGATTTGGACAAAAGCATCTGCTAAATCAATTGTAAAATAGCAGAATCACAGCTACAGTTACAGTATTTTATTGTTATGAATACTGTAAACGTTTCCGACATATTACTCTCCCTTTTAAAAATGATATACGTCCCTAGAATCCAAAACTGGAGATTGGAACTTGAAAAAACAGCTGTTGGAAAACTTGCATTGACAAGTAATAGCAGCAGCCCAACGACTGCTGAACTACTGGTGCTACATATCCTGTTGTGCTTTCCACGACTAACCAAATGTGAGTTGAAAAAGTAAATGACTGAACATTCTATGAGTCTGAGCATCCTTTTTGACTCAATGACAAAGAATGAAGAAATGTTAAAAGAGCGCCCTCTTACTTCTCATTACTGTATAATCCTCTAGCAATGTGAAGAAAGGGTTGACATGTGGTTCTTTCATGATTTGTTTGCGATTACAAAGAAAACTGAAAACAAGTAATAATCATTGCCTTTTTCATCCTTAATCAGACATGGAGGTTACGAAATGTAATGTCAGACCTTCCAATCTATGTAAGAACCCTGTCAGTATGTGTACAATGAAAGGCCAAGGAATGAACAACACACTTATTCCATCAATCAATAACAACATAATACAGGAAACGTGCTAACATAAGGTTCTGTTTTGTTTCTCGTGTTAAGTTTCTTTCAAATGTTGCAAAAATGGTACTGTACTGCTTCAATAAACAAATTAAAAGTGGGTATAAAATATCTGGCTTTTTTACAATTCCAATTTACACATGCAGCAGTTGGTAAAAAAAAAAAAAAAAGAGTGAGTCATTCTTACATTGGACTCTCCAGAGGGAACATCCTGGCTGTTTGCAATCAGCAGCTCTTTCATATCGTTTATTGAACAGAACTTCTTCAGTTTGTCCTTAAGTCCCCAAACCAGCTGGCTTTGGTTCTGCAGAGACACACACACACACACAAAAAGACAGCTTGTTGAGATATGTTCACTACCAAACATAAAGTGAGGTGATGTCGCTCTCTTTTTTTATTATGTGAGGTTGAATGAAAGAAAAAGTACCTTCAACTGCTCCTCCAGCTTCTTCTTCTTGTCATCTTCTTCCTTCTTCTGTTTTTTTGACACGCCATCCATCTCATCAGCTTTTCGCTTTCTGCAAGAGCGAACACACGTTTCAAAAAGCTTTCTTTGCAAACTTTTCTTGTTTTCTATTTAGAAAATGTTATGAATAAAAAAAAAAAAATGACAAGGGGAAAGAAAAACCATCTAAATTAACTTCCCAAATGAGGCCAAGAGGGATACTGGACAACAGAACAAACAATGCAGAATATGACACCTTTATTCACTAAGGTGATTCATTAGGGCCCCATCAGTTAATGGACACACACACATACATGCAGGTACATGTCTGCACAGTCCCAGGTGTCAATGCTGATAGCATTTTCTTCCTTGACACAAACTATTAATTAGCCACCCCATGAACGACAACATCCCTTGTTGGACAACAACTGACATCAAGAGGGAAGAAGGGAGTCATATAAAACAGTTTCCTTAAGGTTTTCACAAACAGAAGTTGACTTGTGATATAAAATGCAAAGACGGGCATATAATCAGGATGGCTGCTGTGAAGAACAGGACACAGGCGTTCTTAATCTCTTGAGGAAAGACTTTTTAAAGAGGGCCATCCGGCTGTACATCGGTGAGTAACTGATCTCCTCTTCTCAACACAAGCCAAAGTTCCTCACAGGAGCTTTTGGTGGACTTCTAACTTGAATATTGTCTCTGTCTATAGGATGAACATGGAAGACACCACTCCACTGCTGAACTTCTACTCTGTCCGCCATACTAGAAACTCCTCCAATCTTTATTCCTCTTTCCAGAACTCCTCCTCTCCCTCCCCTCCGACAGCTGACTTGCTCATTTCCCCTAATGTTGCCTACATGGCAGCCGAGCTTGTCATCGCCTTCCTCTCCACGATCGGAAACCTGCTGGTCTGTGCCGCTGTGGGCCTCAACCGCAAGTTACGCACGGTCACCAACTACTTCCTGGTTTCGCTTGCCGTCGCTGACATCTGCGTGGGCACCATCGCCATCCCCTGTGCAATCCTGACCGACGTTGGTTTGCCTCGTCACAACCTCTACCTGTGTCTGCTCATGCTGAGTGTTTTGATCATGTTCACGCAAAGCTCCATCTTCAGCCTGCTGGCGGTCGCGGTGGAGCGTTATATCGCCATCTTCATGCCTTTCCGCTACAGAGCCTTGATGACGCGTCGCAACGCTCGCTGGTGATCCTCTCCACGTGGCTGCTGGCGTTTCTCATCGGGCTTGTTCCTCTGATGGGCTGGCACAAGACGCCGCCTGATTCAGGCTACTGCTTCTTTGTCTTGGTGGTAGACATGACCTACATGGTCTATTTCAACTTCTTTTCTTGTGTGCTGATGCCCTTAGTGATCATGTTTCTCATATATGCGCAGATTTTTGTCACGGTGAAGCGGCAGGTGAGACGAATAGCGTCTGAGCAAAGCGGCAAAGCGGAGGGACAGGCGAGGATTCGCCGAGAGATGAAGACGGCAACCTCTCTTTTCTTGGTTCTCTTCCTCTTCACTATATGCTGGATCCCACTCCATGTCATAAATTGCTTCCTGCTGCTCTGCCCGAGCTGCCCCGTGCCTTTTGAGCTGCTGCTCACCGCCATAATCCTGTCACACGCCAACTCTGCTGTCAACCCCTTCCTGTATGCCTACACAATGACAGCTTTCAGAGACACCTTTAAGGCTATATTCCTTTGCTGCAGGCAAACAGGGAGGCTTCACTTGTAGCCGCGTTGGTGATGATAGAGAGGAAGCTAGGTGCCGAAACGCTCACCACAACTGAGCAGGATTTCTCAATATGAAATCCAATTCTTAAGATTAATAGTAGACAACCTGTAAAAAAGAAAAGAAAATCATCCCTCACCCTTCAGTTTTGACTACAGGGAGTCTCTTCTTTAGCTCCTCCTTGTCTTCAGCCCGCAGTGCATTGAAGCCCTTCAACTGGGCAGCGCTGTATTCAGGCTTAAAAACCAGTTCTTCTCGGCGGCTAACAAAACAGGCCGTGTGGTACCAGCGGTCGATCAGACCCAGCTGAGGCTTTTCAGGGTCTACTGTTTTCTTGGAAACACGGATCTGGTCCTGAAAAAGATGCCCGAGGATCACAGACTCAATCAAATTTGATCAAACTTACATGACACCTAAAACATGTCATTTTGAATAATTGATGGCAATCACAGTTTTCACCCATGAAGCAAAAGAGGCTGCTTACCTTTTCTATTTTCTGCTCGCAGCCTTTGCATGTGCTGCGGTTTGACTTCGCGTATTCAACTGCAAAGTCATTCAGCGTCTTCTCTCCTTTAGCTCCACCCTTCTGGTCACCCTTTCCTACAAAAAGTGAAAAATATTTAGTAGAGCAAGTCCTTCAAAAAAAATCTTTGTGAATGTAAAGATATCTTAGAAAACCATGTGTGGTCACCATGAAACAAATGTACAAATCTTTTGTGTGATAAAGTATGGGAAGGGATTTATTTTCTATAAACCTGTTTATCTTTACACCGACAAAAGAACATGTATAACTGTTTTTTTTTTTTTTTTGCTTCATTTATCTGACCAGCTGTCAGACAGAGAAATATTTACGAAGCCATTGAGAACACACTCCAACTATCAAAAAGGTAAATTGTTAGAAGCTGTGGGTTTTAACTCCTCAAACAAGAAATTACATAAAGGCAATTCAAGAATCACTCTTCATCAAAGTATGTACATGATGTGTGTGTGTGTGTGTGTGTGGACATATTATATTTTAATAGTCCTTTATTATGTAAGTTAAATGTTAAGAGTCGAGTACTGACCTCCTGTTGCTCCTCCGCTCTCAATGGCCTTTTTGACTTTCTCCTGGTCGTCCCAGCGGAGGTCAGAGTACCCGGCTATATCTCCAGTGGACTGAGCTGCAGCTCGCTGCCAGAAGCAGGAGAAGTGGTGCCAGTGAGGGACCTTCCCATCAAACATGGGGGACTGAGGAAATCCAAAAAGGAAGATTCAACACACAAGTGCAATATGTACAGTGAATTGGGTTGTGTGTTGGCAGAGTGTAATATAATAATAAAAAAAAAAAACAGGTAGCAGTTTAGCATATTGCAACTGTTATGATACTGACAGCAGTGTTTTAAAATTAGAACAGGGAGACTTTTGTTTATATTCATCAAAGTTCATATACCATCAAACATCCTAGCACTACTTCTTGTCCAGTTTGTGCAGAGGAAACAATCTTAATTTGAAAAAAAAAAAAAACAAAAAAAACTAAACGAATTTGTATGTTAAATATTAATTTAAGATTTACTCAGTGCTTTTGGAGAGGCAAATCAATATTATTGCCGAGATACTGTTACACTTTTATAATTTTTTTTGTGGCATGCCCATTCATAAAATGTCATAATATGCACTGAGGTGATAAATCTCGACTGATCTTAAACAGACTGACGTCAACAGGCCTTCAGAGTAAAAGCTGATTTGCAATCTGGAGCAGCTTCACAGGTCTTGAGTAAGAACAAAAAAAAAAAAAAAAGGGTTGACATTCAGGAGGTTTTAGCCTATTAGTTAATTAAATCTGTGTGGGGCAGCAGAGCAGACTTCACACTGTGATGCAGGAGTTGTTGTATTTAATTGAATTATTTTGTTTATTCATCCTAAAAACAAACATTATCAACAGAGATGTAACTGCATAATAGATTGAAAACAGATGCATCACTAAGACTCAGTATGAATATTAAAGTATGCATAACTGAGAAAGACGGGTCTTTGTGAAGAAGACAATGTCACCATTTAAATGCTAACGAGGGCCCGACGCAACAGAACCGAAACCACGTTATACGAAACACGTTTTAATTCTCCAACAGCTTGTTAAACAGCCTACTCATTGTGTTTTCTGAACGGAGCCCATCATTTGAAAGACACAGACAGCACTGTGGTGTAAAGCTAGCTAAGCAGGCTTCTTAAGACGTCGCTGTTTTTACCTGCACCATGATGGCCATCCTCAGCGAGTCTTTGGCGATGTTTTCTTTGCATTTCTTGCACGACGCGCGGCCGCTTTTCGCATATTCCGCTTTGTACAGCTTGTCCTCTTGCGAGTCTGCCATATTGCTTTAACACCTCCGCGAAATAAAAACGATTTGACTGTGAGGCGAACTTTCTGGACGAAGAGGAGCCACAACAATCAGAGCTCACAAGCCAGAGAGAGAGAGCCGATGATGCCCGCGTGCCTGTCTGCAAAGCAACAGAGACGAAACAAGCGAAGAGCGCTCACTCTGTCGATGTTTCCTGAAACCAAAACCATTACGCCGAGCTAGAGATGCAGTTTTCTCAAGACGAGGTTTTGTGCGTTAAATTTTTTTACTTTATTTGGCTGCAATGGGTTTAATAAAACAAGAGTATGATGTGGAAGTCAAGTGTAGTCTTCACACCCTTAAGATATCCCTGCATTGTGCTGAAAAACGGAGTGTTGCCACCTTTTTACAGGCAAAATTGAAATTGTTAGATAAAGGTTAACAAAAAGTTAAATCGATATAAGAGACATCTAGCTGTGAAATTTTAGCCCTTTAAAATTCCGAAACAATGAAGAACATTCATATGAAATAGAAAAGTGCAACTATACACACCTCAAGTTAATTTTAAGGATCGTTATCCTAATAACAGCTTTAAAACTATTTTAGAAAGAATTCATGACATGCTTAACAGGGACTTAAATATAATTTTTGACTAACCTGGACAAGCCTAAATGACTTGACTACTCTTTGAATTGCTATTATTATTGGCACACGACTTTCTCTGACCTTCCCTGAAAGACTTGGAAGCAGCTACAGTATTAATAACACATTATCTAGGCCTACATAAATAAACAAAATGAGCAGGGCAGTTTAGGAAGACAGATTTTATGTCTAGTCTATATTAGGCTACAACAACCACATTTTAAGATTTATATTTGAACTATTTAATATGTTATACATATATTTAATATGTATAAATGCATCAGAATGATTCGTTTCGCTAAGTAGTTCATTCAGTGTTTGCCTAATAGGAACACGAGTAAGAAATCTGTCCATCGAGTGATGCATTTTTTTCTAATATACGATCTACGAGTCGGCCGAAAAATACCCGCGCGAGTCGTAGTCAGAACTAATCGAGTGAAGAGAAATCATCCAGACTCTATGTAGTACACTGGGAAATGTGTGTTGTGTATTTTGATGCAGTCTGCGGTTGTGTGTTAAGACCAGGTTTTTTTTTACAAGGCTGATCTTCTTGACTGGAGCTTGAAAGATTTTATATCAGTTTTCTGTGAAATAGCTCGCAGTACTTTTGCCTCCCTTGCAACACTTCTCTTTTTCTCCCTCTCATCCTTTCAAGACCCTGTGTCACTTTTTCCACCCAGCTGTTCCCAGCACAACTCTTCTTTGTACAAATGAAATTAAATGACAACACTTGCACATGTTGTCATTACTTTCTTTTATTACCGGAAAATGGACACTCGAACTTTTTTTTTTTTTGTAAAAATAATGAAAAAACAATTTTCACAGGAAAAAATAACACATTCGTTACCCTTTTCTAGCATTCAGCTTTTACACATTTCATGAGCCAAACCTTTATAAAAAACTTTATTGAAGGCCTATCTAATCATGTTTTTAAAATAAACTGGGGGACAATGACCAACATTTCCTAATTTCTTTCATTTGCATTTGATTTTAGATAATTACTGGATACCATTTTAAGTTTGTTTTTGAGAGGATGTTTATGTGCCAGTTACTGTACAAAGTCCAGGATGTCCCAAGGAAAAGCTCATCAATAAAACATTAATTACATAATAAATCAAATTTGTTACATAAGAGAGTCACATTATCAACAAGCACTATAATGTTTATAATTAAATCATTATTATATATCAAATTGAAAATGTTTTGCCAGGAATATTTCATTGAAAGCAATCTCTTTTAGAAGAACACAACCTTGTCTCTCCTTTGGTTTTTAGTATAAAAGAAATTAGACGACAAGGGAGACAGTGTAAGCATTAAGTTCCACCGTTGCCGTAAAAATACAACTTTTGTTCAGTAACAGAAGTTAGTGTGAAGTGTCACTTTCAGATTTTTGACTAAATGTTTTGGTAATCCGGAGTGACAATGACACTGACATGTGAGCTGCCAAGACATACATTCAGCAACACACTGGTGAAGAGCATTTACAGAAAACAACAGTGCAATATGACACCAAGCAGCCAGGTATTTATTAAAAAGGAAACAGGATTCCCGCTTCATTTTATTGATTGAGAAAGAAATATGCAGATAAAAAGTCCCACTATGAAAGATACTTTAAGCGTATTTAATATGTCAGCTTACAATATAACATAATATACTGAAAAACTGTGAGAATATTTCATGCAAACAAAGTAAAAAACAACAGTCAGTATGATATAGGCTTTTGGGCTGTGTGAGGTTGAGCTGGTTGTTTTGAGGTATTTTGTATTTTGGCTTAGAGGTCAGAAGATCTGCTGGAGGATTATTCCAGCAAAACATTAAAAAAAAAAAAAAAAGACATGTTGGTGGGTTAGTATAGCACAAGATGAACCGAACACAGTGCTTTTAAAGTGTAAATATGGCAATAAAATGCAGAATGCAGTACTGATAATCTCTAAAGCGTATCACATTTGCTGTAAAAGAGGCCTGTAAGACAGTTAGGTCCTATAAATAAACTCCGAAAGACTCAGCATTATGACGAGTTCCCTCTGCGTGTCAGCCAAGAATATTAAGACTTCAAACCGTCTTTTCAGATAGCAGAAAGCAGAGGGGGGGGGGGACACAGCTGTGGAGGAAACAGCCTAACTCTTCTGTGTCTGTGCAGCTATGCTATTTGGGGAAAGTGTAAGGTACAGTATAGGTCTTCCTCTATCCTGTTGTCATGTGACCTTAAACATCCCCTCCATCAGCACTGCATGGAGCAGGGAGCCAGACTGAACCCCGTGTTGGACTCTCTTATCTTTTCCTTGTTTCTGGCCTGGACCAGACCAAACACCACCCCTGCGAGCGTCATGCGTCCTCCCGTCCGACCCCCCGTGCGACCATCTGTCACCACATTGGCCCGCTTGCTGCGCATGGTGCTGATGAAGTACGTGCGGACTTTTCCCTGAGTCTCGCTCACCTGCAATGACAGCAGAGTTCACATAGGTTGGTTATCCATCGTCAAGGTGTTTTATTGTCAACAGTTTTTCATAAATATGGCAACAAGGCATTAATACGTTCACATTCAATGCACTAAGGTGCCTTCCTGGAACAACTGTTGTTTCTTTTCACCTTTAGATGTCACTCTTGTCCCCTTTTGCTGTGTTCATGTGCTGAGTAGAGCTTATTCCTACACAAATCATCGATTTAAAAAAAATATTATCTGGTGGCCCCTCCCTCCCTGGTCCCCCTTACTAACACCTTCTCTCCCTCCCTCTCTCTCTCTCTCTCTCTCTCTCTCTCTCTCGCTTCTTTCACTTTTTGTATCCTTTCTTAGGTATTTCATATAGTTTTGTAGTTTTTCTGTTCGTAGTATGATGTGTGTCTATTAATGTCTTATTTTGCTGTCTTTATTTGTCTTATTTATTTTTATTTTTTTACTGTATTTTGGAGTCGTTGTCCTGACCTTGTCTGTTTTTTTTGTGCCTCATTTGTATATCACCAGTTTGTCACTTTATTGCACCTAATAAATTAAAATAAAAGTAAAACATGCTAAGTCACGTCAACGGATTACTAGGATACTTTAAACTGAACAGAGGTGGATCTGTAATATTTCCAGCTATGACATGAAAATCTGAACAGTGGAGCTGTCCAATCCAACCCTTACAAAAGAACACACATGTGTATTAGAATAGACCTTTTGTCACAGAGGACAGCACCCTGAAACTAAAGCAGCAAAATGGAATTCAGCCATCACTTCTTTTGATATTTGAATCTGTGCATTAGGGTCAATACTGTGCCATGTGGAAATGTCCTCTATGAGAATGAGCGGTACAAAAACTAAACCTTTCAACAGATGCAGCCATGTAATTTGCAAGTTGTTAAATATGACACCATTGTTAGACAGCTGGCAAAAACAGGAGTATTGCAGGTGTTCTCAATGTTACTATAGGGTCCATGAATAACATAAAAGATGGAAATGACCCATCCTGATCTCAGGGGCATTAACTATTTTTGCTTCTTTCCTAGCCCTCTGTTTAAAAATGTAACCCATAAATATGCAGAATCAATTACCCCTCAGCTAGCCCGTGCATGGGATCGTTCAATAATAGAATTAATTAAACACAGAATATCAACATCACAGGTAACGGCAACAAAATCATCCTCGTCCTTCAGTCACTCACGCCTTTGACAAAGATTTCTCCTCTTAGCTCTAAGATGAAACCCCACTCGGCCAGGATCTTGCGTGTGGCCTCGGGTACCTGGATCCGTCCGCTCACACCTGTGCTGTCCATACGGCTGGCCAGGTTCACCGTTGACCCCCAGATGTCGTACTGCGGCTTTGTGGCACCTATCACCCCCGCAACCACCGGACCATGGGCTATACCTGTAAACAATGCAACACAGTTACATTCATCATCCACTTCAGACAAATCACTAAGACACAAAAGATGCTTGATCAGAGTGGTTTACAGCACTTTTCCATCGCTCGTGTGTGTGTGTGTGTGTGTGTGTGTGTGTGTGTGTGTGTGTGTGTGTGTGTGTGTGTGTGTGTGTGTGTGTGTGTGTTGGAGCCAGACACGGCACTTACCCACACGCAGCTTAAAGTTTTTGGCAGACAGCCTGTTTATTTCTCTAAGGGTCTCTTGCATTGCCAACGCAAACAAAACCAGCTCACTCAAGTGATTCCATTGATCCATAGATGCCTGAGAGAGAGAGAGAGAGAGAGAGAGAGAGAGAGATGGATGTTAGATACAGAGAGAGAGAGAGAGAGAGAGAGAGAGAGAGAGATGGATGTTAGATACAGAGAGAGAGAGAGAGAGAGAGAGAGAGAGAGATGGATGTTAGATACAGAGCGAGAGAGAGAGGCAGGGTGGAGAATGAATGATGGGAGGGCAAATGAAGTCAAAACAAAGTAATAGCTGAGTGTGCAACAGAAGATCTCCCACCTGTCTGTCTGGAGCTAAGCCAGACGCTGCCATGTAGCAGCTCCCAATGGTCTTTATCTTCTCCACAAAGTGAAAGTAAGACTCCTCTAGTAACTGAGAGAGAGACAATACCACACATCAAAGTCATATATTGCTTTCAGCTAAAAAGGCAGCAATGTAACGGAATAACACATTCATATAGCACATACAAATAAAATATGTAGATGAACTTTTATAGCCTTTATACAGTTGATTAATCTTTATCCCGTTTGCAGAAATGATCCTGTATTCAGATTCTATTTTCTAGTTAAGAGTCGATACATGTTCTAGATCTACTACACTGGTCACACTTTGATTTTCTGTTCTCGTTCGTACCTCATCAAAGCCAGCAATGATCTCATTCAGCAGCCGAAGACAGTCCACTCCCTCGTGTTTGATCTCTTTCTGCTCAAAATACTCGTTGAATCCAGCGATGGAGGCAAACATGACACCCACTTCGTCATAGGACTGTGAGTAAAGCTCCTGATATGAAAATAGGGTCAAGAAATGTCCTTGTTTATACAGTTTATGGACTGAGTAGTCAGTATGCCTTAAAGGTAAGAAGGTAAGAGGTCAGCTGTTCCCACAGATTCGCTGTTAGGTTAATGAAAATACATTTCAAAAATATGAAACACCCAATGCATAGCACTTAAAAATGTCCACACACACACATCTGAAATGAATAAAATGTGTTCTCATGAAAAATGTCTTAGTCATGGCTTTGGTTACCTTCAATTTGACTCAAGTCTTTTGTCATTTGCTTTTCAAGTACACACAATATAGGACGAAAAACTTTTTTTCACCTCATCGTATTTGCTCCTGTCAAGAAAATGTCGTGCCACATGCAAAGGCAGGATGTTGTGCAACAGACACTCGTTGTGTTCCCGCAATTCCATCATGTCTTCCACTTCCTGTTGGGCCTGCAGACGCCACAGGAAGTCCAGCCTGGCAGTGGCCTCCCACTATACAGTAAAGGACAGGTAAGAGGACACACACCTTTACCCAACTACTTAGGCGAGGTTCTCAAACAATATGGTCTCAACAATGCAGGATCATATTTCGAGCCTGCATTAAAATACTGAACTTGACAGCAGCGTAATGAAATCTGTGGCATTCGTCATTACCTGCCGTCCGTTGTAGAAGACAGCGACAATAAACATGAGCATGAGAAGGATAGAAATTGCTTTTCTCCTGAAGTAGTGAGACCTGTGCAGTAGTTAATGAAGAAAAGAGGACTTTAGAGGCGTAACATGAATATGTGATCAACAGTACAAAAACAATACATACAGGATACTATCCACACCAACAGTTTGAATTTGTTTTCATGTCAAAGCAAAACAATGAATTAAAATTGTTTTTCAATAGCCTGAGCTGAATCTGACCCGTGCAGCACATCGTGGCGCGTGAGTGAGAGGAAGGCCAGATGGATGAGGTAGGAGTAGACGGCCACCACCAGCAGCAACACAGTCAGCTTCAGCAGAGAGTTTAGACGCAGGAACACAGCACAGGTCACCATGGCAATCACGCCGCTCAGTACAAACACCTGAGGAGACAGATTTGTTTTCATTGCATTATCACTTTCTCAAAGTTAAAAGTCCCCAAAAAATATATCTGATAACTTTGTGTCAAGAATGTGTGATGACAATATTCAGTTTCATGAATACTAAACTTTTTTTTTTTTTTGTAGTATCGAATAATTCTGTTGCATTTTGTTCTTTAAAGCGTTGCATACCTCAGGATGATTGCAGAGGGTGAATGGACGTGAGGCTGTATTCATCCTGTCTATTATATCAGCTTCTCCTGCGCCTGTGAGGATGCACCACACCTGGAAATAAAAAAAAAAACATGCAAATCACACAAAACCTACAACCAAAATACTGAAATATTTACATATATTCATTGTTTTAACTGTTTTGTGTAAATTATTAGAATCCGATTCTAGAAGTGCGGTGTAATTTTCAAAGCTAACATGTTAGTAGGTTTTTTTTCTCTATGTGCATTAAAATTAAAGGGCAGATTATTCCAGTAACGTGAGGACATATGGTAGGAGTGCCTTGATTTACTGAAACGCCTATTTCAATATGTAGGACTTCACATCTATGACATCAGGCACAAATTATAAAGCTGTATAAAGAGGAAAATATGTCAAGAAAAAATAAACTTTCATCAACATTTTCAAGCACATAAATCTTTGATCACCATGTCAGTGGAGACTAAGCCAAAGTTAATTAAGATGGCGGTGAGGGTGAGGAGGTTACGGGCACTGTTGTTTTCGTGGATCCAGCAGCAGAACCGCTGCAGCGCTGCAGGAGCACACTTGAACTCCTCAGCCAGAGCTACAAGTAGAAGCAGCATGTAGGCAAGCAGGAAGACTGAGAACTGAAGCACAGCTGGAAACAGCCTGCAGCGAGGGAAGAAGAGAGGGGAATTAAGTTAAGTAGAAAATAGGAGGGTGAACTCAAGAACCAACATGTGAAAAGAAAAACTGGTGTGAGAAAGTGTGAAGTTCATTTAAGAGGAGATAGCAGCATTATTTCATTCCTCCTCAAGATGGCAGCAAAGCTAAATAAAAAAAAAAGTTCAGATCCTACACACAGAAGTTTCAAAGGGAGAGTCACAGTGTTATCAGTTCATGTAGGGTTATGACATGGACCCTCAACAGGAAATGGCCGTGTCATCGGATTCTAAAAACATGACATCAATGCAGAAGTGCCTGAATAGCACCAGAAGCTGCTCTAAATGGTAATTGTATGAGAAAAACCAAACGTTGTTTTCATAACAGCATGTTCATTTGGTGACAAATCAAACCCATTTAGAGTACCATAACAATAAACAATGCTTTAAGGGCATGGCTACTTTGTAATCGACAAGATGCTACCACAAGAACTTGAAAAATGTCAGGCGACAAAAAGAGTCTCCAAGGAGTTAAGTGTACTTTGTTTTAAGCTTGCTTTTTTGCTTTGGAAAAATAGCATTCTTATTATATCACGGTTACCATGAAGTTTCTCGTAACCCAGCTACTTTTAGTGTTAGCTGATTGCTAAGCCCTCGCTCCTCTACAGCTCCACCGTCCTTTTCCAATTGAGGCACCCTGGGAAACCAAGATGGTGACTTTAACAGACCAAAATCAAAGCCTGAAAACAGTTGACTGGTCACACCTTCTTATTGAGTCTATGGGTTTAACCAATGAGTGCCAGAGAGCTTTTTTTGGTTGGAAGCGCTTGGTTTTGTATGTTTTAGTATCATTAAATAAAACGCATGAAAATAAAATTCACTGTATATTTTGGCTTCAATCTAAAAAGATTGCTGAGGGTACCTACCTGGGTGCAGGAACGAGGGCCTGCGTAGCCATGAGGAAGAGCAGCAAGATGAAGGAGCAGACCAGGTTGGAGTTGAACATTTCATCTCTCATCTGGCAGAACTGGAACAACCAAACAACGTCAAAAAAAAAAAAAAAGATAACAGACCACATCAAACCCTCCGACACGATAATTTATTACTGCCTACCACCGCATCCTGATAACCTGCTTACCTTGTCCTCTATGTGAGTGTCTTTGAACACCAGGGTCAGTGGAGTGATGTGCTCCCTGTGCATCCGCTCACTGCTCTGAACCTCAATCGCTTGTTTGATGCGTTTGTTGATCTCCTTGGAGGAAGACTGCCATATGTTGGGCAGCGAGCCGTTTGTAAATGAGGCAAGAATCTGCAACACAAGAAAAAGATGTAAAAATAAATCAGGTTGGTGTCAGTGAAATCTGTCTTTTGTGGTTAAAGCGTCTATGATATGCCCTTGTGCCAAAGGTATCAGGAGTGAAACATCTTAACAGAAAGAAAAGAAATGTTTTTTTTCCATTTTGTATCCCAGCAAGCACCTACACTGTTCATGTCCATGATGTTTCCAAATGGCATGTCTTGGTGCCAGGTCCGATTTGTTTTCTGCACTTTGAGGGGCTCGACATGTTCAACCTTGTTTTTTTCCTCCTGAGCGCAGATGAGGAACGTGTCGATGTTGTGCTTCTGCAGAAACTCATTCCTGTCCCGTCCATGACCATCTTCTGTCTTGTACATGCCCTCAAGACAGTCCAGTGTGGCCCTTGAGATGTGGATGCGTCTGTATGAGAGAGAATAAAAGCAGTGCAAATCATTAGTGCTGTACAAAGAAACATTCTCTCATCGTAATGGTTCAACTAATAATCAGACATTAACCAAGGGAAATAGTCCAACTAACTTTGATATCAAAATCGGCAACCAATATTCACGACAAGATGTATTTCTAATAATATATGAATTGAATTTGGTCAATATTAATGATCCTGAGAGTTAGTTATGCTCCTGACATCAAAATGAAAAATAGATGTATGTTTTCCAGGGGGGGTGGGGGGAAGTAAAGGGGGAACATTTTGTAATATATGATGTGATTTCTTTGTACATTTCTAAATAAATAATTGATCACAAAAAAAGAAAAGAAAACTGGATCAGGAGTTGTCCTGTTATCCTGCTGAAAAACAAATCAAATGACGAGAAATAGTCGAGAAAAAGTAGAGAAGATTACACTATTTAACTTTTATTTATGGAAGAAAGCCCAAAGTTGACAAGCCAAAAGTCTGTCAAGTATCAGCTAACATGTTGTATACACACATTAGGGATTGTTGTCCAATCAGGGGGACTGTCTATGACTTCTGGACTTCAAAAAAATATTTTATGTGTTTACTAGTTTTAGCTTTGTTGTCAACACCACAACCACATTAATATGAAACTCAAAAGGAAAATACATGACAGAAGAACAAACACGGTATGTGCTGTTGGTTGACACTAGAATAGGCTCACCCTGGTATACCCCCAGCCTCCAGCATGTTGGCAATGCCCACGTCCCATGACCAGACATCAAACTGCCATTTTTGCAGGCCCAGCACCCCACACAGGACAGAGCCCGAGTGGATCCCAATCCTCATGTCCATGTCAAAGTTCAGCTGCTGCCTCACATACCTAGATTTGAGCGGTAGTAAAGTGGCTGTGTTAGAATACTACGCGCAGACATTAAACTCGGTCATCTTTTACTGTGAGCTTTCGAGTCAGAATTCAAGAGACCAACAGAATTTCTCATGTGATTTTCTTCTAGCACATATACAACCGCACATGGTTTATTGTCCTGACTCGGAGTTGTATCTGTTAGGAGATTTTCTTTCATACCATTCCTGCCTATCGGGACTTACTGTATGGTGCTGATCATAGCCAGGCCCAACTCAACACAATGACGGGCATGTGCACGCTGTGGCTCAGGAACCCCTGACACACAGTAGTAACAGTCTCCCAGTATCTTTATCCGAAGGCAGTGGTGCTCCTTTCACACAAGACACAGAGGCAGAGCGAAATGAAGTTGCTGATGGATAAGAAGTTGTGTAAAAAAAGAAAAGACATTTAGATTCTTACTTCTGCCAGTCGGTCAAAGCGTCCAAAGAGCTCGTTGAGGGTTCTGACAAGATCCTGAGCTGACAGGTTCATGGACAACAGAGTGAAGCCTTTTATGTCCGCAAAAAGGATGCTGCAAAGAGAAGAACTGAAAATGTAAAGCTCTGAGCAGCTAGACGGAATATAAAGGGTTTTCAATTTGAAAAGGACAACACCAAACCCGTGAAATCAAATTTTAAAGAAGAGATGTCCAATTCCTTTGAAAATGGCTCTGTAAATACTCACAAACTAACATAATGTTTACCTGACATCTTTGTACTGGTGGATATAAATCTTGTGAAACTCATGAGGATTGAGTTCATCTTCCAAAGAGCTCATGTCAGCAATCATCTCCAAGGCAACAAAGCGAGGCAGGATCGACAGCACAAGACGCTCCTGTGTACCAAGATAAAAAAAAAGTCTATCTTCCATTGTATAGAATAACTTGCAAGACCCTAAGTTAAGGTCTGTAACAAAGTTAAATCGGTGAACAGTGGTTATATTGTGTTTCCCCCCCCCCTCAGTTCAGATACCTCCAACTCCAAACTTTAGCCCAACACAGCAGCAGTCACTGTACCTGTCTTTGGTTCTCTTGCTCTAGTTTGACACGACCTTCGATGCAGCGCCTCGTCTCTAGAAAAACTTGTCTCTGGGCATGGTCTGTGAGGTAATGAATGAACAAACCAGCTGTGTTCATACCCAGGTAAAGCAGACCTTTTGCAAACACCTGCATCCAAGAGAAATTTTGCATTTAAACAACAAATTTCAACCATGAAAAGCCAATATGTGTAGGCTGAAATAAAAAAATAAAAATGGAGATTAGTCGTGTTGGCATTACCTTGGCCTGTTGTTTTGTGTAATAATTGCAAATTAAAAAAAAAAGACCAGTTGGCACTCATCAACATAAAATACAGGCTGAAAGTATCTTTTGTCGATATAACCCTTAAAGGAAAACTTTTACACTTTGAAAAATTCAAAGTTTTGACGATTGGGAATGTATGAGACAGTTAAAACGCTAACATGCTTACATTCTGTTAGACGTTTAAAAGCAAAGTAGAACCTGTGATGATGTTAAAAGATTGTACATTCTGGTGGACTGATTCAAAGTAATACAAACTGTAATGATAGTCTTAAAATGGTTAAAAACTGTTAAAACAGTTGTATGCTCCAAAAGGGTTAAAATGACGTTTATTCACATTCCTAACTTTAACTTTAATGTTAATTGAGCTACCTGCAATAGAGTTGATCTGTGATCTGCAAGGTGGTCTTAATCTGAGTTGGATTGCTTTTGTCTTCTACTACATACTTGGGAAAATCATTGACTTAAATTGTCCAGGAAAACATTCGTTTTTCACATTCGGGATTATTTCTCCAAATTTTTCTGGTTTGCTAAAATTTTAAACTGAGTAACTCAGCGATAGCAACTTCCTTATATGTCAAGATTTTTTAAGAGTGTGTTTGGATTACATTTTTAAAACTTAGCAGAGAGTAGTAAAGCAGGAGTGTGTGCAAGTGTGGAGCCCCTGCCTGGTTGCTGAGGTAAACCTGTAGCTGAGACAGGTGCACTAACGTTTCCTTTTGAAGGTGAATATAACTTTCACATAATATAGACTTACCATATTTTGCCCCTTAGTAGTAGTTGTGTTATTTTTAATTGTGTTTAGGCCACATAAGGCTTTGTATGTAAAAAAGTGTGATACATGTATTTGTACATTTTGTGTATCTTAATAATTGGCGGATACTGTAATATAGGCGGATATTAAATTATGCTTTAAATGAAACCTTGAGCACTGCAGGTAGCTCTAGCATAGCAAGATAAAGGTACAACCCAGAAAGCTAAGAAAGTATCACTGTAATGAATCTGATAAAATTAACTGTATAGTTACCTTGACAGTAATATAATCTTGTTAAGAGATCGTTTTTTGTTTCATTGTGATACATTTATAGGAATTTCACGACACAAACAGCTGATTTTCTCACCGTTCTCAAAAGCAGCGCATCATTGTAGTAGTGCACTATCTCCACCAGAAGGTGAAGTATTGAGGTGAGGGAGCCAGCGCACATGGCCCACAGCAGAGGTAACGGCAGCAGGGTGTATGTGGCGAATAACGTGTACAGAACATACCACGAAGGGTCTTTTTCCAGTCCATATACCAGTCCTCCCAGCACCTGTGTGGTCTGTGACAACCAGCTAGCCAGGCCAGCGAAGTGAAGCCACCGTGGGGAAATGGAGTCTTTGCAGGTTAGCACTATGTTGCACAGTGCTATAGCTAACACCATGAACACTCCGGTGAGACAGCCACGCAGAGTGTCAGTGACCGGCTCAGGGGCCAGCCCCAGGTACAGCACCAGTACATGTAGCTTTGCCACTGCGTCAATAACATTACTGATGGCCAGAGAGTTGCGCCGTTGGTGGGAATAATGTTGCTGGTAAAGTTTCTCCAGGTCACGAGACTTGAAGGTGTGCCTCAGGGTGGGTATGTAGACTCCTCGAATTGTGTGGCCCCAGTGCAGGAAGAAGTCGGCATCGCTGGCGTAGTCATGAAAAGACGCTCTGACGCTGTTTTGTGTGCTGGTGGAACCACGGGGATGGGATGAGTGCATCCTGAAGGTGGAGGAGCGACGTTTTGTGACCCCGCGTGAGGCCTTGTTGCGGATTTGCTTGTTGATTTCCTCCATGTAGGCATCCGTCACAAAGATCTTTTGTGCCGGCTCCACTCCCACCTATCAAATAGCAAACAAAACGTTTTGGACAGGAATGGCTTTATTGTTGAAAGCAAGCTGATTATGACAACAAATAGTTCCCTATTTTAGCTTAGTTTAGTTAACTACCTGCTTAGTTTTACATCACTTAACTGGTTCTTTCTGGCCACTGATCCTTGGGCAGTGTGGGCTGGCCCCCTTTTAAAGGCTTGGATCCGTGTAGTAGTGTAGGGTTATTTTGCTCAGATTTTGTGAAGACTTTTCATATATCTAAATGTCTGAATTTGGCCTTGCAATTAGAGAATTAATGAATTTTTAGAGCATTAAACAAAATTCGATTAACTTGTATTAAACTGAAGTTATGGCAGGCAACTCAAAACACTTGAAAAACAATGAAATATGAATCCAAAAAAGATATCTGTATGAATGGATACTGGTGTTCAGTATTTTCTTCTGCTTATTTGGATGAACTTAATTAATTAGCAACATTTCTTTGGTGTACAGGCGGTGTTGACTCTTGCCTCAGTGGCCTAAAAGTTCATGTTGATGCTGTCATCGCACACATTGTCCTATTAAGGCATTAGACATGAGTTCCAGCTTATTACAATTTTCTCAGTTTTGTGTAACAAGGAATGTTCAGAGTGTAAAGTGTTACTGCACGTACAGTCATAATAATCCTGCAGAGGTTTTCAAATAAAACAGCTATTTTCATCTGGGTACAACACATCTGCTGATTACTTTGGGATACATCTTTGTACCTGGGCGCTGAGCTCCTGCTGGATCATGATGTGTTTCACAGCATTCTGCCACAGCATTTTTTTCCTCCGCAGCCCGGGGGACAGGGCTGCCGTCATGCAGGGTGGCTCGCAGAGCTCCATCGGGGAGACTTGCGTTGTCTCAGAAAAGGTCACCATGGTGATGACCTCTACTGACCTCATCCGCTGGGGCCAGATCAGGAGGAGGCCAAAGCCTGGACATATGGTTGAGGGGGGAAATAAAAGAGGAAAACATGTTGATGAGTCACAGTTACGCCACACCACAATGTGTTTTTCTGACAATACAAACATTAAGAACATTCACTCCGTCAGATCATAGATAAAATAGTCAGGGTTAGAACAAGTCAGCCTGTATTAACAGCTTGTATGTCTCCTCTGCCTCTAAAGGACCTTAGTCAAGAAAATAACCCAGATGATATCACAGCTGTGTCATCAGGCTTGTCAGAGCTTGAACTCATATTTATAGACTTTCAAGGTCATATATAGAAGATGTGGGTGTTGTGGGAGGAATGGTGAATGACACATTTAAGTTGCATTATGGGAAATCTGGAGCATGTCTCATAGTAGAGAATGTAAGGTTGGGATTTCTCAGCCTCTACCCCTACCATTTGTTTAAAATATGACTCATGTTCCTTGTTTTTTTTTTTTTTGCAAATTCTGTATTATTTAGATCTTCAATTCCCAAAAATATAGAAAAGAAAGAACCTAAACATACAAGTTTTACAACTCTGGGATTTATTGTTTATATTGCTTTGTGTTTAATTCTTGATGATCGCTTGTTTGACATAATAGTGAATTCTTTTTTAGAATTTTAAATGCACCAACCCCACATCTATCAATCCGTTCCAAATGACTGCACTGTATATTGGATTGAAATGCTAAATCCTAATTGTTGTAATTGAATGTGTTATTTAACACAAATTGATTTTAGGGCCCATTTGGCCTTTTATATGATCAAATAGGAACGTTTCCAAATAAATATTTCGTAAAATTCAAAAATTTGTTGTATAACTTAACATTCATATAAAAACATGATGAGGCTTATTTATGGTTATGGAGCCTTTTCCTGCACATGCTCAGCACGTTGGAAAGAGCCACCTGCTAAGCTCCACGTGTTGACACTGTGTGTGCCAGAAGAAAGGCGGCTTTCCAACAAATTATCTAGTGGACAGATTTAGACCTGAGCTGGTTAATGCGTTAAAGTCTTCCAGGTCCTTCTGGCTCTCAGTGCTGTGGACCATCCTACTCGCAGCCACGTCGCTTTACATTCTCTCCATATTATTGTATCCACAGAGGACAGGTGAGAAAAACTCAATCATAACAAGTTAACCTATCAGAATAAAATACAAATACATGCAACTTGTGATTTTAATCTTGAGGTGGATTACAGATTTACAGCAAAACCATCTGCTGTTAAGATTTAATGAGAGTGGATAACGCATTAAGAAGTCAATATGGAGTAGACATAAACCATATTGTTCTGGTGGACTTTATCAGCATCATACTGAAACACAATAGTCTGACAATTGTCTAGGTTTCCAAAACTAACCTGTTTTGTTTTACATATTTTGCATCTTCTCCTCGTGTCCAGTATGTGCCGTAGGATACATTCAGCCAGCCCCTCATAATCCACTTTTTCCATCGCACTGGAATTGTACGCAGGTCTGAAAGTTAAGGCATAATCCATGAAAAGGGAAAAAAGAAAACAAGATATAGTCCCCAATGTGATGAAACATCTAAAAATAAGGAGCAGAAGGGATTACAATTTCCAGCCAAAATGTGGGAAGTCGTCTCGGCTGGATTGTAGGTCATCCCCACCTCGTCTGTTTAAAAAGAGTGTAAACTACAGCCGTGAAGGAGCAGATCTACAGAAGCAAGGAGTGCAAAGAGGATTAGTTAGTCAGCAGCCACTCTCACTGGCCTGTAAATCTCAGATCATTGGCATCAACACAATGGAAATATGAATGCAATGCTCCCATCCTTTGGCCACATCAGCCATGGGTTTTGAGAGCTGGGTTTTATGCGGTTACATCATGATCAATGCTTTTAGTTGCAAAAAGAGACATATGGTTGAACAGTAAGAAACATTGCCTAAAAAGCCTACAAGCAGGTAAACAACAAGGACAATGAATCAACTCCCTGCATCACATATTACAAATTACAAATACAGGTGTTTCCAAGATGGTAAAACAGTCTACTGCCACTAACATCCTCTTTTGAAGAGGAATGTGATTTTTTTTTTGTAGTATACAAGGAGCTGTTTTTGAAACCTTCTCGTACTTTTTTACTTTCTTCAATCCAGATGGCAAGGCAGGCAACTGCTTGGGGCCCCAGATCAGTAGGGGGCCCCCAGAGGGCTCACAAACTTAAACCAAAGCAGTGGCCCAAAATGTGCAAATTTCGCAGTGACAGTAGGAAACCTCCCTAAGGGCCCCCCGCCATCTGACAGCACTCCCTCTCGTTGCCCTGCTATTCGTCACGTGCATTTATTGCCATGAAAACCAAAGTTTGTCAATGACTGTCACCGAAGAAAATCAAAGAGGACTTTGCTGTCTATGGTAGAGAAAAAGAAACAGGAAAAAACTGGAGGAGGAAGGAAGCGTCGGCTGGCAGACATGATGGTGATGAACACTGGTTGGAGGGCCCCCCAATTTATTTTTGCCTGGGGCCCCGACAGGATTTAGAATCACCACTGATCAAGCCATAGAAAGAAGCTGCAAAGCATTGCAGTCTTTTTAATGATGGAATTTCTCTGTAATATATACAAACTCTAACTTGTTAAAGTAAAGTTATGTAAACCATCTTTTATCTTACCTCTTGAGAAAAAAAAATGAGGAAGCAAAGTGATGATAACTTGTTAATTCTCATGTGGACTTAGAGTTGTTTTTGCTTTATCAGGCTGTTGTTGTCATGTCTGTATTGTTTTCTAGAAGCATTATAGAATGAACTTAAATTTGCTGTCACACTTAGTTGTTTGTTCATGTTGATATTCTTTCAACAAGTTATACTAAGCTATTAAACTAGTCCAGATACAGTTAAGAATCATATGTTTATAAAAAATATGATATACTTTAACAAGAAAAATTGTAGTCCCCTACAATTCTAACTTTCATTAAATGGACGATTTTATCCAAAGGGACGTCCATCAGAGCGCAAGTCACACAAGAAAGGATCTCGATAGGAGGAACCAACGTCAGTAATTGAAAACAAACAGCTTTAAGTCTGATCAGACACACAGGGGCTGAAAGGCACAGAGGCAAAGCAAAACACTGACAGCGTTATAATCAGCATCAAAACTATAGATATCGTCATTGTCATTAACAAACAAAACCATCATCATCATCATCAATGTCGCCATCATCAATATCATTAAGTGCATAAGTGTTCATGAAGTGTTCATCAATTCTCAATTCCCCCCAGTTAACTTCATCATTCATTTTGTTCTTGTATATACCCCCTGTTTTTATTTTTATTTTTACTTATCTTATCTATTCTGTTTAATGTGTATTTGAGCTTTCTTGTCTGTGCTGCTGTAACGCCCGAATTTCCCCTCTGGGGATCAATAAAGTACTATCCTATCCTATCCTATCCTATGAAAGAGCTGGGTCTTCAGCTTTTTATTAAAAGGTGCGGTTCTCATCAACCACGCAAAAAATAAGACACAGACCAACAACAGAAATAGCGAGAAGAACAGACACAGACCTAGGTATTGTTTATGATGAACACTGGGCTGAAAGCGTCAGCAGGCCTACGCTTCCTTTGGTCGTAAGCTGGTTTAATGTTTTGAGACGTGCTTTGCTAATTGTGTCCAGGCAGAGCACAGGGCTTGTAAAGCTGATCTCATGAGTTCCCATATGTGCAACCGTGACTACGGCTCAGACCTTTCTTGCTGATTAGTGAGCATCTAAAAATAGTGGCCAGGTCTAAGGCAATTAGATCTACTATTACTGCCACCACATCAGCATAGCTCACTGACACTTGGCAAGCATGGAATAAAGCACCTTTGAGTACATTTAATGAGATACCACTGTTAGAAGCCATGGGAGAGGATGAGTAAATAACACAGGCTATCAAATTCTGATTGCCTTTTTGTTCATTAAAAGCAAATTAAGCGAATGCCTGGGAATGAACGTCTGTCTGTCATTTCGCCATCACATGCAATCTGTAATTTTATTAAGTGTCTCCATTCTGAGTTTGAACTGTTGTCCACCTGAGGGAGTAGTTAGGATGAATTAGTCTGCCGAGGGCAAAACCCCAGAAGCTAATTAGTATTAAGGCTAACCTCTTCGGCTGTCCACTCATCAGCTGATTCTTGTATGCACTCAAGCCAAAACCAACAGCAATACTGACCTTGTGGCCTACGTGCTCTTCAAACATTTCACTTATGGCAGACACAGAGATCTATTTCTGTCTGTGGTGTGTATGGTATGTCAGTCTGCAGTAGGACTATGACAGTCTGCCAGCTTTTGTTGTGGCAACCACATGAAACTATTTAAAGTGAACACGAACACAGGTCAGTAAGGGTCAAGTGTAACAAAGATGCTAATCAAGGCAGCTATTGTGCTCAAACATTTAAATATTGTTGATTTAGCATTTGAATTCAACAATGTGGTTGAGTTAACGTGACTTGGCATTTAAACCAATCATTAAATGCTTCCCTTGAAAGTTTTTCTTTGCTAAGAAACTGTCTTTAATGATTATCTCTCAGAATGGCACACAATTTTGCTTAAAATCTTCCATCAGTTTACCATACGGCCTTTCCAGACTCACTGCTGCCACCTACTGGTAGAAAAAAAACTATACAACAACAATAAAGTTCCATCCGTAAATATAGGCTAAAGAATACTTACGCAAAAAAATGTATAGGTTATATTGTTGCATGATACTTATATACTCCCCTTTATCATAGTCATTTATTTTGCATCGCTGAACTAATCTGATATGTGGGTTGCAATTAATGTGTCTATGACTATTCTATATGTTTGATTCAGCATAAAATAGGACATATAGTACATTAAATTAAATGAGAATAGACTATTAACAGGATAACATGTTATGCCCTTGACCCAAATAAGCGATGCTGCAGGGGGAACAAATATAGGCCGATTAATAATACTTTATGAATAAATACACAAGCTGTGAGTGAAATTGCCCTGAAAGCAATACATTACCAAAACAACATAATAATAATAATAATAATAACTTTATTTATATAGCACCTTTTAAAAACACAGGTTTACAAAGTGCTTTGACAAACAAGAACAAAGCAAACTAAAGCAAACACAGAAGAACATTAACAACAGCAAGAACATAACAAATGCAAAATACTAAAAATAATTAAATACAATTCAACAGAAAAGAACCCAAAGTGCACAGTACCCAACAGACATATATAACCCGACCATCACAAGAACCATGATAAGAACCCAAAGTGCACAGTACCCAACAGACATATATAACCTGACCATCACAAGAACCATCATAAGAACCCAGGCAACACAAGAACCCAACAACACGAGCTGAGACCAAGAGGAACCAAAGATTTAAAAATATGTAAGAAACTAAAAGAGCTGAAATAACATAAAAAGATAACAGCAAGAAGAAGGTAAGAGCAGTAAAAGAAATAGAAACAAGTGGTTAAAGGATCAAAAAACCCAAAACTATAATATTAATAAAAATAAAAAGTAAATATAAATATGAAACATAAATAGACAAAGTAAGATAAGAAATTACCAAGTTAAAACATAAGAGGAGTTAAGATATGAGCATAAATAACACATCAATGAAACAAACACTTTTCGTTGTTTAGAAATTAACGTCACATCTCGTAAATTTAAAATGTTTGTTGCCTTTACACACTTTCTAATTTAACGCAAAAATAATCATGATCAACCAAACAACTGTTATATAATAAAGTTAGTTAAAATAACATTGAACACAGGAGATTTTTTTAAAAATAGTTTGTAAAGTGCACTATCACTCATACTGCTTTAATTAAACCATTAGATTCAAGATTTTTATTTGTCACATGCTCATACAGATGTGCAGTGAAATGTAAGGACTGTTCCGCAAGGCCATGCAATAAACACTCAAATTACTAATACACATATATACAGTAAAATAGAATATAATAAAAATAAAATAAAAAATAAAAAAATAATTATTTCAATGTACAAAATATAAAATATAGAGTAATATAAACAGTGTAAAGTGTCCAGGGTGTTCAGGGTCCAGTAAAATAGAATATAATGTAAAAATAAAAAAAAGAAGTATCTGAATGTACAAAATATAAAATATAGAGTAATGTAAACAGTGTAAAGTGTCAGTGTGTAAAGTGTCCAGGGTCCAGTAAAATAGAATATAATGTAAAAATAAAAAAAAAGAATTATTTGAATGTACAAAATATAAAATATATTATATATATATATATATATTATATATTGTTAGATATAACATTATCTGGTCAACATCTAGTATTTTAGTGGTAGTCTTTCCTATATTTATTCAGACAACAACATGACTACATGATCCATGACTGGACTTGATGTGTGATAACATGAGAAGCAGACACTGTCACAGATCTCATCATTACAGCTGGTCTGCGGGCACACTGAAGCTACCTCTATGTTGTCCTGGCATAGCTGAACTTTAGACAAATTGTTCTGACGTTAACTTTCATTATGCGGCACGTTTAAAGGATTCTTCACTATGTTTTTTTCGTGGTAAGTGAAAATGGGCGTTGACACTAATTGTACGCTGTCCAGGAAAAACACAGGCAGAGATTTCCCTTAAACAAACAGGTTAGCTCGCCAGCGGTAGCATGCTTAGCTTGTATACTAGCTGTGGGAAATATTTATTATCGTAGCATATTTGATTTAATAACCCGAGGTATTTGTTTAAACCTTATCGAAACCAGTTGAATAATAATACATATAAATTAATAATAATAAATTTAAAAAATGAGGAAGCTAGCATTGCTAACATTAATTCACTTGCTTCTTTTGACTTAGAGTTTGTATTGCCATGTGGGTAATGACATGTTAAATTGCTCTATTCGCTTGCTACTGGTTTTGTCAGCGGGTGACGCCGGGTTTTGACTTATTTTCATAGGTTCACACGTGTAGAAATACCTGCAATGTTCATTAGCTCATTGGCTAATTTAGCGCTCTTAACTTTTACAGGCCAAACACAATCCAGCGGTTTTCCTGATTCGCAGAGCCCCCGTTGAAGAACCTCTTTTCCGCGCTGAAGTGCCGACGGTGTGTCCCTGCTCCTGTGAACCTGGAACAGCAGCGCCGCCTTGTGAATAGCATCCAACATGACAGGTGGGCAACACCCCACATTTGCACCTGTTAAATGTCTGAAGTTATGGTTAAGATGTTCTTAAAACCAGGACAATATATACATATAAAAAAAAGGGATTAATTGTGGAATTGGGATTCGTTTTAGAAACTGTCTGAACCAAATCCTCTCTGCAACTCCTCGCTTACTTAGAAAGTGTTTTGTGTCTCAGTGTGTGTGCACTGTAAGTGTGTGTGATGTGAATATTCTTGTATGAATTTGCAATAATCACCTACCAGACGTTTTCCCCGTGTTGGCATCTGCTGACGGCCACATTCCTTGAACCTCAAACCCACTGACTGAATATTTGTCCCACGATGCCCCTCTCTCCCTGCCTCTCTCACTCTCTCTCTCTCTCTCTCTCTCTCTCTTGCCCAGACAGAGACTTTGGATGGATAGGGAGTTTCATTGTGCCACTTAGACATTTACTTCCGAGAGAGACGCACACAGAGGGCAGAGCTTCTATTGGAGGAATTATTGCTAATCACTTGTTTAATAGGATCATTTCTGTATGATATAAAGCTCCAAGACAGGGACATGCCAGTTGGTTTGTAGCAGGGACTCTTAGTGAATTGTGACTTGTTTAAGTACTTCAAGAGTTTTTGTTTTATTTTGTTTTCAGGCTTGACTTAAGCAAAGTGTACTTTTGCACAAGTATATGTATTGCAGGCAAACTGGGCAGCTGTGGATGCATGTGAGCTGTAAATATTGTCAATTGTGAACCTTTAGTTTTTCATCTTTTGAGTGTTGGAAGGCTAAATTGGCCAGTTTTTAAAATAGTTGTTAGCAAAAATTTAGAGGTGAAATCTGCCTCTTTACTGTGTTTCATGCATTTTTTGGCTTTGGTTCCGAGGTTTTCTGTGTCTTTGAAAGAAGTAGTTTGTGTTTGAGTGTGTGGCTGTTGGCTGTTGTGTGTATATTTGCCCGCCATGCCCTTACCAGCGCCTGATGTCCCGGCCTCTCAGAGGCTGGCACTGGACTGTCGTACCTTTTGGACCATCGCATTAGCAAGGGTAAGTGACAACAGCATCTCTTCTGTTCTCTGTTCGCTCCTGCTCAGTTTCACACTGAGATTTGACTCTCTATGAGCTGTCTCCTATTCAATACAATTGATTCAGCTTATTTCACAGTTTGTAGAGGAGTTTGTAGAGGCACTCGAGTACTCCATGATCAAAAGGAGAATTGGCTTTGATTGGTACATGGAGGCGTTTTCTGCAGAACATTGTTGATTGAAAGGGACATATCCATATTTATTCTTACATTAATAAATTAACTTTGTTAGATTGGAATGTGTTCATCTATCAGAAAGAAGAGGCTTATAGCTTCACAGGGAGTTCTGCTGATCATCCCAAACAGAGTTGGTGCTATGGTAGAGCGAGGAACACAAAGCTTGATTGTGGATTGTTCAAGCACTGATATCACAAAAGGCTATTGTTACTAAACCAAGTAAAAGAAGCAGATTCTTAGTGAATATATGGAGGATTTTCTCACAAAAGAGTTTTCAGTTAGTGTGAAAATCAGTGGATAATAGCATCAATCAGTTTAAATATCCAACCCGAAGAAGCACAGCTATTTCTTGATCTTGTATTATTAGAATTTAGCTGAAAACAACTGCATCTTTAACTCTGTAAAACACTTCTGATGAAGTCCACTCTCCTCCCCTTATGCAATCAGTTTGAACAAAGCACTTCTGGTAATTGCACAACCTTGATTTATAATGGATCTTTGGTTCCTTTCGCAGTGTATGCTGGCACTATCTGATGTGTTTCCAAAAACTCTTGGAGTAAAATGCTGATAGGTAGGGGCCCCAGATTACTTGGTGGTTATGCTGCACGCCCCATGTACAGAGGCTGTAGTCATTGTCGCAGTGGCCGTGGGTTTGAATCTGACCTCGGCCCTTTGCTGCATATCTTCCCCCACTCTCTCCTCCCTATCAGACGGCTATCATACACAACCTCACGATTCAATTACATTTCAATTCCTAGGGTCAACAATTCGATTTGATATTAATCAATATGCTTCGATATCGATTTAATTATATGCATAGATGACAGAAATACCCAGATAACTAATCACAATACCTTCTGATATTTGTTAAATAGTAATGTGTCTATTATTTGTATAAGTTTCGAACAAACTGACTCAAAAATGTATTTTATCGTTGCATTATTCTTTGATAAACAAAGAATAAAACATTAAAGTACAGTATGCGGCAGTACGGTTGCAATCCACAGTGCCCCCACTGGAGTGGGGCGTCATTGCAACGGAAATAATCAATATCAAGATTTCCCTGTACTGATATTTTGAAAAAATTGTTTGAAAAAATTGAATCGATATTTTTAACCAGCCCTGATCCCTATATTTTCAGTCTCTCTTTATATATCCTAACTTATTTAGGGAAAAAAGCCTTCCCCCAAAAAAATAAATAAAATAAAAAAATAAAATAAAACACATTATATAGATAATGCTGATAGGGGAAGATAAGTAAAGTGTAAATGTATAACTGATGTTTGAAATAATGCAAAATGTCAGCCAGAATAGCTGTGTTGTCAAACAATCATTTTCAAGCACCTTATACTGAATAAGAGGGATGCTGCAGCAACATCAGGATTGAACTTGAAGACTTTCTATTAGAGCTTAAAATCACATTTCATTTTTCACATTTTTGGTTGTGTGTGATGTTTCTATTTTTTTCAGCCTTTGAAAATACAAGTAAACAAGTGCATATAGTAATATAAACACATTTTCTAAAAATTATTTGCATACAAAAGTAGCTGATTAAAATCAATCTAACCCTAAAAAAACAAAGAAAGGGGGAAAAAAAAGTGGAATTGAGTTTAAGACTTGAAAATATTGAAGGAAGTTGCATAAGCATGGAAGGAAAAACTGTCAGTCAGTAAAGCAGCAGGCAAGGGAAGATTAATGACGGAGAGGAGGGAGAGAGTGATGCTGGCAGGGGGTGGAGAGAGAGGGAGAAGAGGAGATTGCGTGGGTGGGAGGTCTTCTCCCTTTCTATCCCCTTGGTGCACATTTCTGTATTATTCTCTCTCACTCCCCCTGCTTCCTTCTCTGCCACTGAGAGAAATGATTAGAAAGAAGGTTGTGTTGCGTGTTTGTATGTGAGCTGCTGCATGTGAACGCTGCAGTGCTCCCTTGAGGAGGAGCACTGTTGCAGAAGACGAACGGGAAAATCCAAGGTCATCACAGCACGCTTCTCTCTGACGTTTACCTTCCCTTTCTCAGCCCCCTTTTTGTGCGCGTGTGTACATGCCTGTTCGTGTGTGTGTGTCTGCACAGCAGGAGAGTGTGTGTAATTCATTGCATCAAGCCAGGCTCTGCACCAATCACGGTGCGCATTTTAGCTCCAAGCACACGTGCAGGCATCCATGCCAGAGAGAGTGGTGTGACTGTGTGTATTTGTGTCTGCTTCCAGTGCCTCTTGGCACAGCAGTTTGTCTGTTTAAGAGAGTGAAGCTGCACTTAGGAAACAAAAACGTCTGTAGTGAGGGACTCCAACACCAGGAGTGATGTACGGTAAGAAAAACCGTCACTCTGTTTGTGTATTTTTGTGTGTGTGTGTGTATGTTTAGGCTGTGTAAGCATGCTAGTTATGTCAAACATGCAGCGTTCAGCCAGTTTTCCTGCATTCTACAAACATCTTTGCTTTTAGCTCTCGTGTAGTAGTCTCCTGCTGTCACTAGTGTTGGATCTCCTATCATCACGTTATGGGAACATGGACTCTTGAAAGGATACTTCTCAGCTGAATTTGATTCACTAACATGGATAACCTGCTTTGAAGATGTTTTTCTTTGGTAATTTAGTCCAACACTTCGAACACAGACTGCTTCCTTCTGTTAGATTTTACATGCTACCATTTAAGCGTTCTCTGCACTTATAACATCTAGCCAACTGTTAACTCCGAGAGGTCGTGAAGCTTACTGTGCAGAGTCTAAATTTGTATATTTAAATTCCTGCTTCCTTAAAAAAAAATAATTTGGATATTTTCGGTTAGGTTTTCAGATCTCGAGAAAACACCTTTAATGTTATTGTCTTTTTTACTCTGGTGTTACTGGGACATGTTGATATTTGGTTCAATGATTAGGGCTAATTACAAATGATGCTATCTTTGCTTTGGGTTTGGACTATTGATGGAAAAATCTTTGGTTTGAGGGCTAATGAACTATCGAAGTAGAGGCAAGCGCTTGTTGAGTTTCTGTATAGAATATGTGCTTTGGGCTTGAGTCCCTCATAGCTCAGTTTCAGTGCCTGTTTGACTAGTCTTCGCAGTGTGTCGCATCTGCCTTGTGTCATGAGATTTGAAGGCAGCTGGATCTGTTCATCCATATTTTGGCCGCATTAAAGCAACCACTCCCATCGGATCAAGTGTGTGCTTTGAATGTTAGATATAACATGTGGATTGATGGCTAAAAAAGATGTATGTATGTCTCTGCAAGGTGTGTGCACTGTATGTTTGTTTGTAAAAAGCCTTAAGACACTGAATAGATATGGCTCCTCAGAAGACAAGTGGGAGATAGAGTCAAGTTGTCGTTATATGTGCAACAAATTTGAACAGCTGTCATGCACTCCTGGGTGCTGAAAATATTTCTTACTCTTCAGCTTTTCGTAATGCGATAAGCCTCTTCTCTTCTTTACTCTCCTCCTCTCTTTGGCTCATTCAGTGGCAGCTTCTGTGCATATTGGTCGGCCGTTGAATCAGCCTTCCTCATAATTCATTATTTGCTTACACTCTCCATTCCCCTGGTCTTGTTCGCTCTGCGTGTTTCCAACTCTGCTGTGTGTCTTTGCATTTAAATGCGAGAAACAACCGTTTAAAGATGTTTCATCCTTCCTTGTTTGGCTGATGTGAAAATAGCAAGGCTTGGTATGCACACACCCCCCCCTCCCCACCCCCCCTTATGTAATGACACCCCTGAAGGACAACATGCTTGGTATCCATCCTGAAAATTGTCATGTATTTTGTGCAGTTCTATCAGCATGTGTTTGCTTTTGGGTGTTTGTATGTTCTTCTAAGTGCAGACTGTGAAACCAATGCTTTGCATGACCTCAGGTGAAGGTGAGGTCTAAGTGTGTATTAAAGGTTATGCCTGCAGACACAACCACTCAAATATACTAACACTCAAGCACACATCTCCAAAGTGTATTTAATACTCTCCTTGCAGGGAGACAGGACTATATTTACTCCTTCTTGTCAGCCACGTGACTGTGGGTACAACAGAGCAGCTTTGGACAGCAGGTGCAGATATGACACTGCAAGAAGCAATGGGCTACTTGTCACACACTTGTTTTGTGTGTGTATGTGTAATTAGTTATCCTAGTTTATTCCATTATATAATATGCTATGTCTCTGATGATATCACAGGCGTTTGTGTTGTGTAGTTGTCAAGTGGTAATACAGAGCAGTACTCTTCATCAACACTTTAGCATGTTTGAAAGTGCGTTTAGGATATTTTGAAATGCTTTCATACACAAATATTTATTTTAAAGCTTTGCTATTTTGTTCGCACCTTTATTTCTCACTTCTTATTTTAGATATATGTTTGGGCTTTGATGTCTTCATTTAATAGGACAGTAGGAAATACGGCTGCATAAAAATCATAAAAAAAACACAGGATCTCGATTCATGCACACGTGCAATGTCATTTTTTAATGATGGCTACTGCTGTATTTCCCTATGCATTCAGAAAAAATCTTGTGTTCACTTATTTGCTCACTCTACTTACACATCGTAAAGCAAAACGCACATTTAATTCATTAACCAGGCCTTAGATTTGTGTGTTTTTAATTTGAGTTCATGAAATGTTTAGTAAAAGAAAACAAAATAATCGTGTGAGAGAATCATGACCTAAATACTCAGGAAGAAATCGTGCAGCCCTAGTAGAAAACCAGGGAAAGAGTGGGAAAGGAGCTGCGGGTCAAATCTAAATCAGGGACACCCGTTTTAAAGGATGATATCCTATGTACATAGGGCGCGACCAAACTAGGCTATCGGCTGCTGCATGCAGTTTTGTCCCTTCCCTCTAATTCTTTCTCCCTCACCCCAAAGTAAAAATGACAAGCCAACATTGTGAGGGAAATGGAGAGTGTAATCTGTTTATTTACCAAACCATTGGTACATGGATTTAAAAAAAAAAAGCATTGTGATTGGCTGTGGTGTTTCCAGAGATGTTCACATATTCATCTATGTTGATTTTGCAGCTAGGTATAGCATTGCATCCAAACAATAAAATGAGAAATTACACAGGGCAAAGTTCCAAAACTCCAGTAGAGATGGCTGCCTTTTCTGTAGTGTCTACCAACAACCTATAATTTGTTGTTCCTCTGTTTCATGCTCTCTGTGCATGTGCACAAGCATGCTTGTGTGTGGGTTTATTTATGTTGCTGCATGAGCTGGCTGTGCAGCCCCTAAATGTGTTGTCAGCTTGCCATGCAGAGTGGGTGGATGTCGTGAGACCCCCTGTGTGTGCTTTTTCACCGCTGTCATCTAAATTCTTCTTGTACACCTACCTGGATGCTCTCAGTTAGCTTTTTTCACACTAACCCATCATTGCCAACACTAGAGACACAATACAGCTCTTTTATTGTTGAGGCAGCTGGAGCAATTCCCAACACAAACATGGTATTGCAGAACCTTTTTGAGGCACGATGGAAGTATATATAAATGAGTATACCCCCTGAGCTATTAGGTTTTTGCCACTGCTTTTTCTTTAAAAACAACTTTTCCTGTTTATATCTCTCTTCCCCTTCCCAAAAAAATCTCCTCCCTCTTCTGGCGACAGAGAGGACAGGACAGATTTGTGCTGGACAGAGAAGATGCAATAAGTAGCACTAATCTATGACTCACTATGTGCATCATAGTCCACCTCCCCCATCACACTACCATCTCTGTCTCTTTTTCCGCCTGTGTCCCTATCACTCTTTGTCCTCCACCTTTTTTTTTTTTCCTCTCCACACATGGGACCCCGCTGCTTCATTTTCATTAACTCATTGGCGAGTCCTACACGCAGGCCCCAGGCCAGTACAGCAAGGATGAGAAAAGGTGGAGGAGGGAGGTTGGATGGTTGCAGAAGGAAGGGACAGAGGGATAAAAGGAGGGGAGGGAAAAGAGGGGTGCAGAGGTCTCATTTGTGTTTGAAGTGATGGAGGAGCAGCACTATGAATAGACACACAGCTCTCAGAGATAAGCCTGCGCTCCAGCAGAGCTCCTGCTGTGGACTTCAACACAAGTTTTAAGAGAGCAGAGAGAGGCTTGGAAACACACGGGCCTTTAAGTGGTTTAAACACTAAAGATGCCTTTCACTAAAAGGCTTTTCAAAGACATCCTGCATTGGCTGAGTGTCCTCCTCCCAGGTGTAGCTCTATGATTGCAAACCAGAAAGCTGTTGAATATAGGAATGCATCCCACGAGAGAGTTTTTGTCGATACTCAACTCCTCCTGCTTACCTGTTTGTGCTCTTGGACAGGACAGTGACCCCCCAAAAGCTTGCTCAAGACTCATTGCTTTGGTATAAAGATTCAACAAGTACCTATACTGTACAAATCTGATCTAAAAGCCTTATTGTCCTCTGTTTTGAGTACATATGTTTTTGCTCACATTTGTTGTGTTCAGACCAAATGATACTCGGGACTCTCTTTTAGAGCTGGGTTTTTCCTCCACAGACAATCTTTTGCCATTCCCAAAGAGGTTTGAGCCAGCACAGAAGGAAAATGACCAGGGCCTAAATTTGAACTGAGAATTTCCAATAATGCTATAGTGTTACCGTTTAGCTGCATTGTTCTGACTTGGCCTTTATGTTTGCTCTTGACTAACATGCTCATGGAATAGAAATTAAGTGAGCAGGTTTGCATTGCTTATTTAGTCTCTTTACTCTGATTTCATAATGGATGTCACATTTAAAATGTTGTCTCAACAGTATTTTCATTAAACCTAGCAGCAGGCAAAGAGGTCTTAAGCCTCCTAGGAAACCTCTACAATGTTCCTGCTTCTAGTCATATCAGTCACGCCCCTAATTATGCAAGATTCTTATCCTTCATAAAAGGAAAACTTTGTGATCTATTTGGACTGAAATAATTTTTTGAACCAGGCAATGAACACATTTATTTCTGCTGTCAAAATGGGCATTATAACGGCTGTATGGGGCTGTATTGGAGCCAGCCTCCAAAGTTTGAATAAGTTATTTTTTAAGCAAAAGTGCCTTAAAAAAACAAGTGTCCCCTCTTTTTATAACTCTTTCTGAAAGTGAAAGGACTCGAGATCTGTACGTTTTGGAAGGACTTATTTCTGACATTGAAGCGACTTGAAGATTTAAAGATTAATGAGAGAGTTGTCGACAGATGAATTGATACTTATGGTTGTAAGTTGCAGTCTTTTGTTTGGGGTCTTTGTAGTGCAGTTACTCATCATCCTTAGCAGCTTTCCATTTTATGGCTGTTTATCACTTGAGAATCAGTTTTGTCAGCACAAGATTCTTGTTTATGTGTCTCGCAAAGTGTAGCCTCAATTTGCCCATTTGTTTGTGAGGGTGGCACTTGGCAGCTGATTGCCTGAGAAAATTAAATTTGTGATTATTTTTTGGGACATGTAATCAAACTTGATAGCCTGGCTGGGGCAACCTGGCTCTCTGTAGGAGGCTTGGTGTCATTGTTGGAACAGTGGTAATCACAAGGCACGTGGCATGTAGCTGTCACCTGTTTGTGTTGGTTCCAGTTCTCTTACAATACATCTCTTACACACTGGTGTTGCATTAGAAAGATTTAGTGTGAATCTACTGTATGTTGGCTACAATAAATGTAAAGGGAGGTAGGGTAAGGCAATTGGACAGTTCAGCAAAAAAACAAGGCTGCAATCTGTGCAACAGCGAAGTAAAACAATGAATAATGAAACATTTTTCCTTTGGGAGAGTATCAGGAAGGAAAATGACATTAGGAGGGACGCAAGGACAGAAGAAAAGCTGTTCCCTTACAGATTGTTTTGCTTTTGTGTAACATTTGTTGGAGTGTCATGTCATTTCATTCTTCATTAAACTTGACTGCAGTGCTTACAGCACAATGACCTACTTTTGCCCCCCCCCCCCCCCACCCAAACTCATCCTTGTTTGATGTGAGCAGGAAGAAGATAATTGTTATGTAGAGCTGCAGGAAGGGTTAAAGGATTTATTTGGGATTTTTGGAGGTTATCCCTTCCTTCCTGTTTCTCCTTCTTTTCTTCTTTTCCCAAGTTCCCCTTATGACTCACCACTGCTGAATTCCCTCAACCAATCAGAGTCCATCTTTCTCTCGCTCTCTCTCTCTTTCTCTCTCTCTCGCTTCAATGCTTGCTAGTCTTGTAAATAAATAAAAAAAATCACTGTTCTGGACCGTGCAGTTTTCTATTCAAGGCTATCTTGATTTCACTTGCTGAGAGAATGTGTTTTTTGTTTCATATTATCAGTGAGGCTCGTTGTTTTGACTGTACAGTATTTGTCTTTGATCGAATTCTTCCCACATCAGGCTTTCAATAAATACATAATTACATTCACTTAATCAAGCTTATTTTACAAGAAAAAATCTCAATTTGTTTAGCTTCGACTTAGTGGTATGAGTGGAGGCATCACTTCAGTTCTGACACTAGTGAAATCAATGCAGCATTTGGTAACTTTTGAACTCCTGCAGGGTGTCGCCTACCCTATTTAAATGATGTTTGTTAATCTGTTTCTTGATGACCCTGATGAAGGCCACGAGCCGAAAACGCGTCGGTCTAAATCGTTAATAAAGTTGATCTTCTTACTACAAGTGTTGCTGGAGCATTTTGACCTCTTCTAAGCCTTTCATTCGTCATGCATCTTGTCAGTTGGTGAAGTTTGTGCCAGAAAATCCTCTTTTTCTCTGTACACCCAGCCAATTGTTTTTTGCCTGTCACAGCCAGCCAATCAACAAAGCACCTAATCAAATGAATGATATGTGTTTATTTGTAAGTGTGCAGCTTAAACCAGGCCCTTAAAGGAGTCCATCAAAACTATTGTTAAGACCTGCTCATTCAGTGTTTATTGAATTACACAATAAGTTGTTGGTTTAACAGCTATTACAGGGAAGTAAACTTTTAAAAAATCTATATTCGATGTGACCTACTTTTATAACTCCTACTCCTACTCCAGTGTTGGTGTATGCTGTGTTATTATTGGTAGCAGTCTTATTGAAAGTCACAGGTTATTGACTGTTAAGTATCACAATGAATTGAGTCATCAGCTTGTGTTGATAATTATTTTTAACTGTGCTCTCAGTTTTTAAAAGTCTCCAGATCCAGGTATAGGCTCTATTTTAGAATATGTTTCATGCACTTAAGACTTTTTAAATACGTAACCAAGGCTGACCACATTAAAAAAAAAAAAGTTCTCTTTGTTTACTGTGTGCATCATCACATCTAGAGAACTTTCTTGTAAACTAAACATTACTCAAGGAAAATCTTTTTCTGACTCACATTTTAATCTGGACAAACTTTGTTATTGAAACAGTGTTCCTTTTTATTCTGTGCACAGGAAGGGGAAGTAGTATAACAGAAAAGAATAGATGAGAAAAAAAACATGTTTTTTTTCCTGCATATGTTTTATTGACTGTTTCTCTTTCTTTCTTTTTTCCTCCTGCCGCTCTCCTCATCCCTGTTTTCTTCAGGGGTTTGCGGTTGTTGCGGGGCTCTCCGGCCTCGGTACAAGAGACTGGTAGACAACATCTTCCCAGAAGACCCCGAGGTGAGAAACTTGATACTTTGTGTCTTCTGTCTAAACTTGAAAACTATTCCTCTGTCTTCTGTATGATTTTGTGGATATTGCTAAAGCACTTATTCAAATGATGATAAGGCTGTTGTCACATCAAAATGAAATATTTTCTTCGTTGTTTGGATTAAAAGAGTGTACATTTTAAAACATTTAAGAGACATGTGAGAAATAATGAGTTGTAGCCTAGGCAAGTCAATATAAACACAGTGTTGTGATGAGATGAAGAGTGGTGTAGAGATGATAACAAACTTTGTACCACCCATATATCTGCTTCAAAGCTGTTTGTGTCAAACCAAAGACATCATCTTTGCTCCTGTTTTCTCTGAGATCTGATACAGATGACGCATAAAGAGAATTAATTTGGGCTGAGAAAAAAGAGCTGAAACTTTTTTATGTGTCTCTGTGCTGCTGCAGTAACCCACTTTACCTGTCAGATCTTTGGCCAAATCTGCAATACACAGGACACACTAGTACATGCAGACCTTATTTCCATGCTTAAAGTTTGTTTATGTGTGTTGGGGCACCTGCTCATGGTGCTTCCAAAAGTTGTTTCTATGTTTGTCTCTTTACTGCTGTGGACGAGACTGTAAGTAATGGTATGGAATAATAAATCCTCCCGTGTGTGTGTGTATGTGTTTGTGCACATTTACTTTATTTCAGTCTTTTTCCCTGGTAATTGGTGCCAAGGGCCTAGAAAATAGATGTGTGTGTGTGTGTGTCTCCTGCACACACCAAATGTTCTCTTAATAGTGTACATTCCCAGTTTAAACTGTGGATTGGAGCTTATATCAACATTTTTCAAAAAGTGTCTCAGACTCTCTTTTATCTACTCCACGGAAGCATGCACTGGGAGTCTACAGAGACACAAAGTGATTTACTTTAATGAACAAAAACAAAAATAAGCTTTTCAACTGTTGTTTTATAGCCAGAAGCCATCCTCCGTCGAGAGATCGATAATGGATTCTGCCCACAAGATGTTTTAGAGAAGCAGACATAAGCAGAGCTGTCGCCCTGTGCTGACTGCAAAAACATCCCAATAATGTGATGAGACAACCTCTTCCAAACAACAGGCCACAATTTTTTATTGCACAAAAGCAACAAATATTATAAGGGAAGCCTCTATTTTTTTAGGTGTGTCAGGAAGACATTCTATTGAGTGTATGCTCATTAGTGAGGACAAGAAACTATTTAATTAAATAAGACAGCCATTAAATGTCAAATATACCTGTGCTGCTGATGTTGAATATAAAAGATATGCTTTGAAATGTGTTAACACGGCCATGACAGAAGGTCAAACTGATTTTAGCAAGTTGTTGACAAGTTGTTCTGTCTTGGCAACACAAAGCGATACTTCTTTCTCTTTGCTGATCTAATGTCTACGCGGACTGCAGCTTCCATTGTTGATCCGTCAGATATATAGGGCGCACTCACTCAAGGCCCAGTTGCTACGACTGTGCTTAAGCACAATTGCCCCCCCCCCCCCCCCCCCATCCACCCGCTGGCCTGCACTTCTCCAGGACTAACCGGGCCTGAGCACTGTTACCTATTGTACATAATGTCGTAATACAACACATGCATGGCTTTCTGTAATTATAAAGCATGCTTAGTTTACAACACAGGTGGACTGGGGAAAAAAAAAAAGGATGCACAGTTGAGTCCACGTCCACCAATAGGAGAACAGCACAGACCCTTTCTTGCTTATTTAACACTCCATAACACTCCAGGATTTCTCGATAATGGAGGCAAGAATGGATTGTACTTCATGCCCACATTGTGTACTTTTGCTTGTGCTTGTGCATGAGCAAAGCAAACACTCTTCCAACCGTGCCACGGATTGGAGCAATCACACTAGTCAAACGAAACTTGATTCTGTTTAGAGAATAAAGCAAGCAGGATCCAACAATCAAAAACATAAATTATATATTTTTGTTTATACAACATGAAGTCCGGCTTGTCTACAATTGGACTATTTTGACTTGTTTGAAAATTGAAAAAAAAACAAGCTTGTTTGATTGTTGTTGCTGGGTTTCTTTGTAAATGATGAATGATACTCTCCTGTTTCTCACAGTTAGTATTTTTAGAGTCGCTGTGCCCTGCATCACTGTGTAGAGGGTTCTTCGGGTTCAGTCTGTCTGTCCTCATACCCACCGAAGTACAGTCTCAACAAAACCTAACTGCAGTGCTTGCAAACAGTTTCTGCTTCTTTAACAGCATATTGTGGTTATCCTCTTAATGTAGAGATCCATGTACTAGATCTCAAAGGACTTGAAAATGTTTTTAGCTCTTTCCTCCCTCCTGATTGGCTGAAGGGCGCTGAAATGGGTCAAATGGGGAAAGTAGGCGACTGAAACTTTGTGATCTACAAACACCTTTTAGTTTGGGTTTCGAGGAGTAAGACACACTTTAGTACACTCACTGTTGCATTAGCTTTAAAGTTAATAGCTTTGAATACTAACCTAAGTTGCCGTCACCTATTTACTCTGTCAGTTAAATGTAAATTAGGTTTTTTCTCATTTGAAGCAAACCTAGCTTTTTGTTAGTCTTTACCAGCTCTGTCTTTGTTAAGCAAACACACCAGCCTTGTGTGTATCTCTCTGAACTGACAGTGACTGTTTTCCATTTCTGTTAGATTACTCCTTGTTATTCTAAAAAATGTAAATAAGACCCTAAAACTTTCCTTTGTTCTTCTTTCCCCTTCTCTCTTTCTATCTTTGTCCATCACCCCCTAAGGATGGTCTGGTGAAGGCCAACATGGAAAAGCTGACATTTTACGCCCTGTCAGCTCCGGAGAAGCTCGACCGTATCGGAGCGTACCTGTCTGAGAGACTGTCGAGGGACGTGGCCCGACACAGATACGGGTGAGCATCACCTGTCACTCGCCACTCATCAAAAAAAAAACATTAAATCAGTCTCTGCACTGACAAATTCTCAAATGAATATTATATTTTACATTTTACAGCTTATTCATTCTCAGCCAAACAGTTACCTAAACGCTTTAAAGTTAATTTAAGGCATTCAAGCTAATACATTTGAGCCATCTTGCTATTTGAAATTAGAAAAGTGCTGCCACCAGAAAACAGAAACCAATCGGTGATGTCACTAAGACTATGTCCAACGATTTCTAAGGCCTATAATTTCTCATGGTAAAGATCCCCCTTAAGCATTCCAAAACAGTATGTGGCATATACTAACTGGATAATGTTTAAGGTATGCATTACACCCAGTTTGTTTGTCTTCTTGACACTTTTTTTCTGTGTAATGAAAAACAATGTATTGTGGGCTGGTGTAATGTAGCCATTAGACGGGAGTGGGAGGCAGGTGGGTCAGGTTGTCGATGTGATGTTTCTGTACGATCTGTACCAACTTGATAAGTCACAGAAGTTGTTGTCTTTTATGACTCATGCTTCGGTTGCACTGCGAGGGTTCTCGCCGATGCAAACAGCCTGTACAGATTACATTTACACTTGGCAGAGTCTTGCGGAAATCTGTTCTATAACCGCTTCTCCAGAGTTTGTCTGGCAGAGATGATCACATTATGATTTCTGTTGCTGTGAGCAGCAAGACATTCAGAATATAATGCCTTGATTTTACTGCCACATTTGATATCCAGACATATTTGCCAACCAGATTACAGTGCTATTCAGATGTTTCATTAATCCCCCCCCCCCCTACTCCTCAGGTATGTGTGCATAGCTATGGAAGCCCTGGACCAGCTGCTGATGGCCTGCCACTGTCAGAGCATCAACCTGTTTGTGGAGAGTTTCCTTAAGATGGTGCGCAAGCTATTGGAGTCAGACAAACCCAGCCTGCAGATCCTAGGAACCCATTCTGTGAGTTTGAAGAGTTTGAAGATTCCTTTAGTTGTGTTTGTACACAGAGTAAACCCTGCTTATTATAAACAAGTGGCTTCAGTCCTGCGTTTGGATTGGCGTTTTTCTCAATGTTGAACTTTAATACTATGATACTAGGAGAAAAAAAGAAGCAAGAGAGTATAAAGTATATGCATCAAAAGCTTTGTTCAGATTTGTTTACGGTAGCTTTCAAAGGATTATCAGTTTCAGTTTAATTCAGAAGCTCAAAACAAAAGGTTTTGTGTTGTAAATATGATTTAATAAGTTAAAACTTTCCCTGGCTGTACAGTTTTGGTAACAAGAGTCATAAAAAACCGAGGGCCCCTAGTTGTTTTTTATTCATTTAGCTGGATCCTCAAAAAAAAACATCCTCAAACCTTTGGTCACTAATGTGTTTCTAATGCGCCTCAGTTTCTAAGCTTTTCTGTCGCATCACGTTCTGTCCATTTGAGTGGATTTAGAGGTATTATCCAATCAAAAGTTGACAGAGCCCATTTACTTCCCTGATGTGCTGGCGCAAATTAAAAAGATATTAACCTTGAGAGGAACACTGCTTCAGTATTTGAGGAATATTAGAGCTCAGAGAGAGGGATTGGGAGGGATGAGTATCGTCTGATGTGGGGAGCAGCTTTCAGCGGCGGGTCAGCAGAGGCCGTATAAAAGAAATCAGATCAGCTGCACACCAAACTCTCTGCAAAGCTCCGCAGTCATCTACACAGATTGACGAGACACGTCAACCTCCCGCTCATAATCTTCATGTTATCAATCTCCCTCGCGCACTCTCACGGGTGTTTATGTAGGACAATTACAAAGCCATGTGTTTATCCAGTCACACATACAATTCAATCGCATTGCGGATTTGTGCAGTATATGCTAATTTAAAGCTTTTCACTTTATTGTAATGTAGATGAACATTTTTATATAAACTGGGAGTGGTGTTGCTGTCAGGACAGAGTAAACCCTGGGCTTTCTCACGCATGCAAAAATTAATTAGCTTTAGTTTTCCATGCAAACAAATGCTGTGTGTTCCTGTTCAACATCCTCAAAGCAACTTTTCTTCATAGTGTCAGCTGTTGGGCTCATTCAAAGCAGATCAGTGTCGGGGGGGAGAGGAGAAAGGAGCGGATTAGAGACACATGACTCAAGCTTGGCCAGGTTGCCTTGCACTACTTTTCCCCCGACCTTAACCTTTCTGTGCTGCAGAACCCTTCTTAACACTCGGCAGTCTTTCTGTCAGCTTGTCGTTACCTGTATGGATGCCTCTGCGGTAGAAAAAGACCTAAGGACAGGGGGTTAGTTTCTCATGATGCACCCTTTGGTTGCAACAGAGAAACATTCATAATCTCAGCTCTCCATCACCTCAGGTTTTATACTCATTTTTAAAGCTTTCAATCGGATAGAGGGTCAGTTTCAGCAGAGACAGATGTGAAAAATTGATGCCTTAAAGCTGCCTCGACTCACAGGCAGTAATATTGGGCAGCTTCCAGATATCAACTACTGCAGCAATTTAGCGGTGCAGCTTCACAAGAGCTTTTATGGCTTCACTTCATTTAATTTGCCTGAGGGTACATTATTAAATCTCAGCACCACTTCAAATATCCATTTTGCACTCAGGAAATAGAGCGTCTTTCGATGTTTGAGATTCTGTTTTTTTATCATTGGTTGTATTATGGTTTACTGCACGCATCTCGTCTGCTTTTTTAATGAAATTTAGAATAGAATTTATGTAACTGAATATATGCTATATAATTATCACTACAGGTGTCAGCCTTTTTTTTTTCTGGATTCTGAAGCAATACAGATCATGATTTATTAATTGGAGGGTGTTGTGAAGCTAAATGTCAGTGTGTTTAAATGGTGACATTTTGAGGCTCAGTAGGGGAGCCCTGTTACTGTCGCTCATAATGAGCTGTTATGTCGCTGACTTTCATTGAGAAAATATTCAACATGGGGATTTAAGGTTTATTCTATTAAAGAGTATTTAATCAAACTGAATTAAACTTTTAATCAACGTGTGCTGTCGGAGATCAGACTAATTAGTAGGAATCTCTGGAGTTTTTGAGTTTAGACATGAAATTTTAATTAAATTTCCTTTTTCCCTCTCAGTTTGTGAAGTTTGCCAACATAGAGGAGGATACGCCTTCGTACCATCGCAGCTATGACTTCTTTGTTTCCCGCTTCAGTGAGATGTGCCACTCCAGCTATGAGGACCCTGACATCCGCACAAAGTGAGTTGATAGATGTTCGTTTGCACCAGAGACAGATTTTTATTTTAGTAACTGCTGTTTTTTTTAGAGAATTTCAAGGAGTCTTTTTTTTTAAGACAGCGGCTGCCCATGGACTGCTTTTTTTGTCATGTTTCCTTTTGATCAAATAAAAATCCTTTTTTAAATTTTGTTGCCTTCTACTAAAAATAGACAAAGTTATATAAAGCTTTTCAATATTAAAAGTCAACTGCCAAATAATGAGGGATACAGATTAAAACAAGATACAAATATCATTTTCTAAATATAATGATTCATTTATAGAGTCAGTCAAAGGATGTCTGTGTCTGTTACTTCAAGGATACGCATGGCAGGTATCAAGGGTCTGCAGGGTGTGGTGAGGAAGACTGTGAATGATGAGCTGCAGGCCAACATCTGGGACCCTCAGCACATGGACAAGATCGTCCCCTCGCTGCTTTTCAACCTCCAGAGTGGAGAGCGGACAGAGAGGTGAGTGTTCACAAGGACAATGTCAGCTCATTACGTTCTGTTTGCTGCTGTTCATCAGACATGTTATCATTGTTTTTATTTGCTGTTCACTTTCATTGTGTGGCTTGCTAACAGCAAAGTAAAGCACTGAAAACTTAGTTTATATAGCATACACTTACATTGCAATCGATTTTTCTGAAAATTAGCTAAATGATGTGGTACAAATGGCCCTGTCTGGAGCTTCTGTGCCAGCACTGGTTTTTCAATAAAGGGGCTGAGCTAACCATCATCTCCTGTGGCTGATACACTTATTGTTAACAAGAACCTCATACAGCCCCACTTGAAAATAAATATATTCCTTTCAGGACAAAGAGAAGTTTTTATAGTTTGAAAACATTTACACATGTTGCACTTATGAGCATTACTAATTTGCGTTGAATTCAAGGCTTTCTACAGTTTTTATTTCACTCACTATTTCAAAAAAGGCTGACAGTTAATTTCTAGAAAGCAAGACCTACACACTATTTAGTCGGCTCTCCCTCCTGTTCTCCCTTACCTGTATTCAAAAACATTCTAAGAGTACTTACAGAGACCTCCTAACGCATCTTACCTTAGCTTAATTTAGCTCCTTACAGAGCTTAAATATTTCTAGTAAGTAGTCGTTGGTTAAGAATGATTAAGAAAGATTCTCAGGGCTAAGGAAGGGACAGAAACGTTTCAGGTGTGGTTGACCTCGTTGCTATGTATGAAATATTTTTCAAAAGCTGTGATTGTTTTTTTTCCCCAAAAAAGAGAGAAAAATAAACTAAAGTTCTCTCTCTGATGAGGCTCATAGAAGGGCAGTAAAAATCCGTTAGCCTCATCATATGAACAATATTTTATGTTGTGATTAGTGAACACTCTGTGAATAAATTATAAGCCTTATTTTAAAGGATATAGCCTAGAATTTTTAGAAATCAAATGCCCACATGCAGTGCTCTCTTCACATGCTTATAGTGACATTTATTTACTCATGTTAATTCATCTTGCTGGTTATTTAGTATTTAATCTAATTGACATTAATATGGGCTGTGACAGCCCTATAATTGTTTGTATGGTCACCCTGCTGATTGACAGTTGCTACAGACGATCACTTCATCAGGTCATCACTGCTGCACTTTTAAACTTGCCAAATAACTTAATGTCGTGACTCATGATCCCTTTCATTTTCAGTGATATTGTTTTGTTGTGTGGACATCTCTAAAGTAATCTACCACAAACATGATCCCTGCATGATCCAATCTGTAGCTTAGGCCGATGCACTGTTATTCAGTGTTCTGAGAATATTTCTACAATCTCTCTGTTTTTCTGCCATTGTCTCGTCACTACTCCTTACATGTTTTCACCTTAGGAGCCCTCCTAAGGGCTAAGATTCTTTTATTTTACCCAGATTACTCTTAATTTTGAGGGGAAATTCTTAGAAAATGTCAGGTATCGAAATATTCTTAGAATTCCATCAGTAGGAGCAACTCCTCAGTACTTTCTGAATATGGCCCCTGGAGTTTTTCCCCAATATGATAAAAATCCAATTCTGCTCATCCAATGTATTTATTACACCTAGTATTATTGTGTTTGTGATGTGTTTTTCAATTTTCAGACTTTCAGACTTTCAACATATGTCATTCTTCTGTTACTGCTGCACACACAAACCAGTATGGCAGGAAAGTGTAGTTATGTGGAATTGAATAGTCATCTGAAAGCTGTCTTATGGGGATATTAATATCCTATAAAGTTTTATATTATAATGGTATTTTGCTTCCATTTTATTCTGTGTTGTGCCTTTTGTTAAAGAACCATTGACCTTCAAAATGACAGATAGTAAATGTGGCTTGAGTGTTTTTGTCCAGTGCTCACAGCACAGGCCAACAGACTGTGCCAGAGGTCTACGCAGACTGTGAAAGTTGACGACCTTAAATGGGTCACTTTTGACTCAGCCACATCAGCCCAGTGCCAGCGTATCATGGCCAAGTCCTTGTGTTGTGTTTGTCCTGCGTTAGGCTATATTTGTCCTGGCACCTATGTCATTCATCATCATTGTCATCACAGAGAGAACACAATGACAGCTCTTCAGCACTTACAGGCATCTGTTGGTCCACCTGCAGCAAGAAAGACAAAAACACCGGGAGAAAAGGGGGGATATTGAAGGAGAAAGATGGAGATTGTATGAAGGGAGAGTGTGTAAAATGGGTGGTGAATAAAGGCATTGTAAGCATTGAGAGCTGGAGGTTTTCAGAGTGAGAGAGCGAGAGAACGCTGCAGAGTCTGAAGCCTCCCTATCTTGGCTGAATTCCACATACTGACATTCACTTTGACGTCAGTGCTGAGATCTGAAGGTTAGGGGGGAAAAGTGGGACAGCAGTGAGACGAACACTGTAATACTGGGCAGAGGGTGGATAATAGAGAGTAGAATGACAGAAATGTGGAGGTTATTATAAGAGTGAGACAGATGGACAGAGATACACATACACACTCAGCAGAGGCACATTTGCCTCTCAGCTTCCCTCCACTGTGTGTGTGTGTGTGTGTGATGAGCACTGCCCTTGCTGTGTGTCCTCCAATCCTCCCCTCACTGTGTGTAGCCAGACATTAGCCGCCATAAAACCCACAGCAGTCAGGAAAGAGTCTAATTAAACTCACAGATGGTGCATTTTTTCTCTGCATTAATCCCCATGCACATGTACAATGTTCATTTAAAGATCAGCTTCAGACGCGCGCTAGTCTCTGTGGAAATTGTGTTTCTGGAGATACTTAAATATCTGCTCATTGTTTGGTGTGCTAAAGAGAACACCTACCAGCCTGATTGATTGGTTTGAATGTGGTGTGAAGGTGCTTGCAGAGGCTTTATATTCCCAAAATGTTTTTTTTTTTCCTGCAGGTATCACCTCAGCAAAACATATTTAAAAGAAATGATCCTCGCCTTAAATATTCTCCTTTATGCTCTCCTCTGACTCACAAACAGCTTCTGTGAACCGTTTGATGAAAGCACATATGAGGTCAGATTGCTGTAGCTGTATGGTCTTTAAGATGATGTAGTTCCTTGTGTCTAACATTGTCGTAATGATGATAAAGACTGCACACAAAGGCTATTAGGGTGCCTTTACAATGAGGTCTACTGCGGCTGCTTTCAGTGCACTTTTTTTGTAAAACAGGTGTTAGTGATAGTGGTTGGACAGATAATAAACCTTTCCATAGTAGGTTTTGATTTGACCTCAGTTTTTCCTTTTTTTGCGGCTCTTAATAAAAGTGACTTCTTAAAAGTGTGATTTCCAGAATTTAAAGAATTGACTCTCTTTTTTTTTTGCCTTCTTTCTTTTACATTAATTGAAATCTTAATGACTCAATTTGTAAGAGCCCCAGCAGATCACCTTTGCCTGCAACCCAGAACAGGCTGCCAATTGCATGAGATCAAAGCACCTCAACAAAAATCCATTTTTACCACTGAGGCTCAGATTGTTATTCTGTCTGCCAAGCCGTGCTTTCTAAACTCAAACACAACAAGATTCAAACTCTTACTGCGAGTCATGTTACCACCTTCATGTTGAAAGCAAGACTTTTATACTTACGTGAGACTTGTCAAGAAAATGGTTTGTATTCTTTAACCAAGAAGTCTCTTCATATATACTTTCAAGAAGTCTGAACCTTTAGTGGCAAATTCTTTTTTTCTTTTTTCAATTGTCCTCAAGACCTTAACTTTCAGCCTGTTTCATGGCCGGCAGCTGTTTCAAAACCTTTTTATCTAAAAGTCGTTTACATCCCGAGAAATCTCAAAATTGGAACCTGGTTTAAAAAAAGAGTAATCCTTTTAAGTTCTTCTTCTGAAGTCAAAGCAGTACAATAATCCTGCATCGAACTTCCATCTTTTTTTGGATTTGTCTGAAGTTAAAAATGAGCCACTGACAGGCAGGAAGCCACATTTCCACCACAGCGGCAGCAGTCACAGCAGGCAAGATGAGAGAGTTAGGCTGTTAATAAATAATGTCATCATTGGTGGACCACCCGAGGCCGGTCATGACCAAGATAGAGTTGTGGCGGAAGTTTTAACTATGCATGAGAACAAAGAAAGGCAGGACCCTATGTGAGTTCTCATACACTTTCACGCATGTTCAAATGTAGCCACGAATATGTATCCAGCAGTCAAAACAGATGTGTAATACACACATGTATACACACATGACACCTTACACGGTCACCTTGTTCTTACTGCAGACTCACTGCAGAGGGGGAAGGCTGATGTAATAAAAGCCTGCAGAGTGTTTTTGTGTTAAGAATTGAGCCTTTGTGGAGATGTTATTGAATCAATTTAAACTCATTCTCTCACTCTCTTCCTTTCTGTCTGCACCTCTCTCCCCCTTTCCGACTCGCCCTCCCCCTCCCTTGCCTCCTCCCTGCTCTTTCCCTCTCCTCTGCCTCTTTTCTGCCTCCTCACCTGCATCGCTCCCTACCAGCCGCTCCCCGTCTCCGCTGCAGGCGTCGGAGAAGGAGAAGGAAAGCCCAGTTGAGCTGACGGAGCGCTGCTTCAGGGAGCTGCTGGGACGAGCCGCCTATGGAAACATCAAGAACGCCGTCACGCCCGTGCTGATGTGAGACAAACCTCTAAACTCCTCCATGCATATGGTCTTACATGTTTTTAGGAATTGTTTCTGACTTAAGCTGAAGGGAAGATGCATGTTAGCGCGATGATGCAGTGTTTTTTTCTGCGCATTGATTGGCATGACAAATCAAACAAGGTCAATGCAAGGTTACAGAGTTGTTGTTGCCAAGACCCGAGTGCATGATTTGCAGTCTGAATATTTAGATAGTTTATTTCTGCTTTCACTTTGTCTGTTCTGCAAGGTTGTTATTACATTATGGTCAATGTTTTCTCGATCAGACAGACTCCCTGCTTTTCTTGCTGCCTTTTCCAGCTTCTATAATCTTATGCATGACACAATAATTAAATACATTCAATCAATCAAATCATCTTAGGTTATCATCATCTAACTTTTGCAGTCTCTATGACTCCCTCCAATGAGTGTTTTCTTTTTAGTTGTTTGTTTTTCTTTACATCTCGCCCTTTCTGCGTCACTCTATTACTTAAAATCAGTTCACCTCATTTGTTGTTATCTCAGCTGTGTGCGAATGTGTCTAAATCACTGTCCCCTATACATTTACACCCATTCCTTATGATTTTGTGTCTTTTGAATATCCACCTAATCTTTGCATCTCTTGGCCTCCTTGCATCCGAGTTAGTGTTTGCAATCATCCTGCTTTTTATTGCACAGAGACTCTGGGCATGTCTGAGTATCAGGCTGTCCTACAGTTTTGTTTTTCATAATAAGTCAAATTTTGTGAAGTTCAGAAATCTCCTATGGATGAAATATATAATGTATGCATGTGTCTTATAAATGCAGGAATGCATTTTAAGATAATAATATTTAAAGGCATTCAGATTTAGGGTATTCTCCCTCAAGCATTTCCCCAAAAACCTCATCAGAGTTGGATTAACACAATTTCAGAGTCTTGTAAGCCTCTAATGCCTTTATTGATTTTTTTTTGTACTCCCGAATCCATCTGAGTGCAAGTCTATTGAACATTTTCCTGTGCAGTTGTTTATAAGATGTGTGTTTCTTTTGAACACTCTCCGTTTTCAGTTTGCTCTGAATTTTCCCTTCAGTTCCCTCACTTGTGATGACTTGTTATGACTTGTGTAAGAACAGCTCTCATCCATCCATCACTGTTTCTTTTGACGGCTTAGATATTCATCGCAATCTTTCAGCTACTGTTGTATTTATCATGATTAATTTAGATTCTTAAGTATATATCTATTGCCCTTTTATTACACTAACTTTGCACCTTATACAAACATTTCCCACAATTGAAATGCTCACATGTCTCTAAGGTCTTGAGTTAGTGATGTGTTAACATTGCAACACATTCTAATACAAGTTATGTGTTATGTACCATTATTCTTAAAAGTTCAAAAGCACAGATGGAGTCCTATCGTAAGGGTTTTTTGATTATATAATAGTGTGTTTTTCTTCTGATTGCTGCTACATTATTACATCTTCTGTACCCCCCCTCCTCCTGTCTGTGTCTCTCCTTCAGGCACTTAGATAACCACTCTCTATGGGAGGGGAAGACCTTTGCAGTGCGTTGCTTCAAAATCATTATGTACTCCATACAGGTGAGTGATACATCGCCAACAAATCCATAAGAACTCTTCCTCGTCTTGTTTTTCCTCTCTCTTTCACTCAGGCAGCCAAACATCCAGGGATGAGATGGATTGACACAGTGCTGTGTATTTCAATTTGAAAGTGTTTTTCACAATTTGGTGCATAAAACAGAAACATGCTCATTTATTCATGATTTACAGCCAAAGCAACTGACAATGAAAGAGATTTCAAATGAAAAAAAAAATGCGTCATTGGCATGTTTTATCTCAAATTTCTAGATTGTTTAAAAGACAAAATGTTATTTAGAAGCATTATACCACTCATACTTCTCTCTGTTTGCTCATGTGTTTTCTTTGGTTTGGTTGTAATCCTCTTTTTGTCTCTTCTTCCTCTTTAGTCCCAGCACTCTCATCTGGTAATCCAGCAGCTTCTCGGTCACCTGGATGCAAACAGCAAGAATTCAGCCACAGTGCGAGCTGGGATAGTGGAAGTGTTGCTGGAGGCAGCAGCCATTGCAGCCAGCGGCTCTGTAGGTGAGAGGAATGACAAACACACACACGCACACACATACACACCAGCTGACTTGTTGTAGGAGGAATGGGATACGTGTGTCATCAGATTTTAGGATGCCTTCACTCCTGGGGTTTTGATTATTCACTGTTTGTATGCAGGTCCCACAGTACTGGAGGTGTTTAACACTCTGCTGCGGCAGCTCCGCCTGAGCGTCGATTACGAGCTCACCGGCTCTTATGATGGCAGCACCAACATCGGCACAAAGATCATCAAAGCCCACGAGGAGAGGCAGCTGCAGGAGGCTGTCATCAGAACCATTGGTAAGTCTGTGGGCGGTGTGTGTGTGCGTGTGTGTGACTCGTTGAGTTTGTCTGTTGGGCTTGTGTTTATCTCACTTGTGTCTCTATTACATTTTTATGTGTGAACTTGTGGGAGTTTTTATTTTTTTTATTTTTTTACAGGCTTGTATTAATCTTCCTCCTTTCTGATGCTCATGTCTCACCCTACGCTCTGTTTCCGTCTTTTTCAGGTTCATTTGCAAACACTCTTCCAACATACCAGAGGTCAGAGGTCATGCTCTTCATCATGGGCAAGATCCCTGTGCCTGGGGTTCACCCAGCTCTGACCTCCACAAGCTCTGGGTAAGTTTTCTCACAAATCCAACAAACATGTTTCCTACCACATGTGCCATTTTATATTTATCAAACTACTGAAATAAAAAGGTTTCAATTTGTTTCTTTATTTCATTTTCACTCCAGGCCTGAAGGCACCAGGATGATTCAGGTTATGTTACTGAAGTCCTTGGTTCAGGTAAACCTTCATCCTTTTATTATTGTTAACTGATAATGTCGTTCTTTACATTGTTTTAAAGCAGAAGTTTCAGCTGCAGTCCATCAAACTTCATCAGAGCATACAGCTCTTGAGACAGCACATAAACATAAACATTGCAGTCCTCTTCTTTTTTCCTCCTTTTGATATTCTTTCATCTTTTGCTTTACCTGCGTAGCTCCACATTCATCTTCCCATTATCTAAGGAATGTTTTTACGCTACAAGGATAGGTGTAAATTAAACCAGCTGAGCTCATGAAAACACACATTCATCCATCCAGGTGGCAGTAAAGGCTTAACGTGACATACCAACAGTCAACAGTTACAAGTATCTCAATTAATGGAAAACACAAGAATTGTTGCAACTGGTTAAAACCACATTGCTGCTCAGTTAGTTCCTGAGAAAATTGTTCTTAGATATAAAATTAACTTTTCTTGAATCTCTCAGGTGACAGCAGGTTACCAGACCACCAACATGCTGACAGCACTGCCCAGCTCCTTCCTGGAGCCTCTGCTGTCCTTCTCTCTAACAGAGGATCCGGAGCTTCGGCTGCTGGTGCTCCAGATCCTTCTCAGTCTGATCGACAGGCACGAGAACACACCCAAGTTCTCCAATATCAGGTGTGTGGGGTGTGTCTGCAGGGACAGGATGGTTATGTGTATGTGTGTTTTAGAGATTTTTGTTTTTTTATTGTGTCTTGGACAAACTTCACTGAACTGAAGAGACGATTTGTATTTATCATGTTTCTACTCAGCATCCTCGCAGACATCTCTGTGCTCAAACTCAAAGTCGACAAATGTTCCAGGCAGGACAACTTGTTCATGAAAAAGGTGAAACTTCTACATTTAACTTGGACTACATGGTATTTAAAGTTGTGTATCACTGTATCAACCACTCTGCTTTGAAAACAGTCCTTCACTTACTAGCGATGGAGAAAAAAAACAATACAGCACTAGGAGGATATCTTGGCTCTCTGTCTGTTCTGCCTCATAATCGTTCTCTTGTTTCCTTCCCCCAGCATGGCCAGCAGCTGTATCGACACATCTACCTGGGTTGTAAGGACCAGAGCAGCGGTCGGCAGCATTACGAGACCCTGTTCACTCTGCTGGGTCTTCTGAGCGTGGAGCTGGCAGTCGAAGAGGTGGTGGTGGACCTCATTCGCCTGGCACTAGCCTTGCAGGTACTGATGCAAGTGAAAAATGACATTTACTTGTTTAATCGTTGTGGTAGGAGATTTTGTCATTGTTACATACTGTTGTTGAGCCCAGACCTAAATTGGTGCCTAATTTTTTTTTTTTTGAATCGGGTATGAAAAGGAAGTATTTTACATGAATCACAATAAATATATATCGAAAGTTTAAAGGATCAAAGGTAAATCTGACAAAAAAATAAAGGCAAGATTCTCAGATTCGGTCTAAAGCCTGCAGACTGATTGCATACTATAACTTAATTTGATAAGGAACTGAATTTTGAGCTCCTCAGTCAGTGTGTGTGTGACGAAGCTCTCCTTGATGATATTGCTCTGTGTTTTGTGCAGGACCTGGCGCTCTCCACAGACGAGGCTCTGCCTGTTTATAACCGCTGTGCTGTTCATGCTCTCGCCGCCGCCTACCTCAACCTCATCTGCCAGCTCACCACCGTGCCGGCCTTCTGCCAGCACATCCACGAGGTCTGACCCTACTCTACTCTGTGAATACGTCTGTGTGTCTCAATAACAAGAACCCCTTTTAATAAACCACTTCTTCTGCCCTCCAGGTAATCGAGGCGAGACAGAAAGAATGTCCCCATCTTTTGCCTGAAGACGTCTTCATTGACAATCCAAAGTATGTCCCAGAATTCAATGCTTCTTCCTCCAAAACTATACAAACAATACTTTTTTTTATGGTTTAAGTTTGCAACAGTTGCAGCCTTCTTTTTACTTTAATTAATTGACAACACTTCTTTTTTTCCAAGGCTGCCTTCTTCACTAGAGAAGGTGGAAGGGGATGTGTTGTTTCTCCAGTCGAAGATCACCGAGGTCCTGGGAGGCAGTGGCTATAACACGGAGAGACTGGCTACACCTTATGTCCCGCAGTTTACTGGTGAGGAGCTCAAACAAACGATCTCTTGTGTTGTGATGTAACGCTGAGTTCAGAAGTCTTAAAGCTGTGAGAAGTAAGTGGTGGAATTTCTGAAAGTGAGTAATGTTGTCCGCTCTCTAAGCGAATATTGATAATGTTCATTGACCTACCAGAGTGTAACAGCTTTTGCTTGGTACGTTATTGATCCCTGTTTGGAAATACAGAGCTAAAATACTTCCCCAGAGCTGGTGGGGATTTATTGTTTGTTTGAAGGGCACTTCATCACGGGGGGAACCTTGAGCCAAGATCACTGAGTTAGAGGACGATCCTTCCCTAACTTTGGCAGACATTTCTACGGTTGGCTTTTGTCAGATTGTTAAACCAACAAAGTCTCTCTGTTTCAAGTCACTAATTGTAAATTGTTGGTCAAGAAAATTAAAGAATAAGCCCTTTTGTTTCCAGATGAGGACCGACTGTCCAAGAGGAAGAGTATTGGGGAGACCATCTCACTACAAGTGGAAGTAGAGTCCCGAAACAGTCCAGAGAAAGAGGAGGTAAAGATGCAAAAAGCACTTACAACAATTTCACACACTATAAGGAAGTTTTACACTTCAGCAAATACAGCTCAGAGCTCTTAACAGCAGCACAGTGTTATTCATCTGTATTTGTTTTGCAGCGGACCCCAGCAGAGGAGATAACATTTGAAACCCTGAAAAATGCAATCGGTATGTTCTCTAACTTTTGTTGTTTGTGAAGTATTTATTCAGCGCACCCTTTATTAATCTTACCATTTATCTGTGTTATATAGGTCACCATACTAACTAAAGCCAAAGAAAATACATTTACTTATTACTTTTATACTACATGTGAAATCAGAAAATAAACTGCCTCAAAATAAAAAACATTCAGGGAAATAAATTGTTGATCTTCACATGCAAGAGACTAGTGCATCATGCATTATTGAAATGTAAACATTATAACCTTGTTTGTTTCTCCCTCTAGTGGACAGTGTGGGTATGGAGGAGCAGGAGAGGGAGCGGAGAAGACAAGTGGTGGAGAAGTTTCAGAAGGCCCCCTTCGAGGAGATAGCTGCCCACTGTGGTGCCAGGGTACATTATTGTATTAGCCTTTTGGCCGTTTTGTTTTCTTTCTATTATCATGTTAACACATTCAAGCTCACACTGTTTTCTATTATGATGTATTTTGTCCCTCCTAGGCTACACTACTGCAGAGCAAACTCAATCAGATCTTTGAGATTACAATCAGGTAAGGGATGTTACTTTGGACATTTATGATGGGCGTTAATGACACTGACTGCATTAATTGATTTCTGGTTCCTCTTCTCTGTCAGACCCCCGCCGAGCCCGTCTGGAACCATTTCATCAGGTTATGGCCAAACCCAGAGTCGATCTGTTCCCATCTACGAGATGAAGTTTCCTGACCTTTGTGTGTACTAGACCTGAAAATCCATTGCAAACCTACTGAACTGTTTTAGTATTAGAGGAAAGGAACAGGATTTGGGTGGGGGGGGGGGGGCACACAGTTACTCACTGTAAAGGCATCCTGACCATTAAATAGAACAACAGCAGACTGAAGAACAAGCCCTGATTAACTTAGCGGAATGAAATAATGGCTAATCAATCTTCTGAATGCAGCCAAAAAAAGCTTGCCAGCTTAAGAAGAAAAGACAACAAAGCAGTAAAACATGCTTTCATTTTAACATTTTAACTCTTTCCTCATTAGATGTCTGTAGAAACTCCACTGGTTGGATTTTCAAATTAAAAGTTGCAGGGCAATGTGAGGATAAAATGAAGTGACAGAACTGGAAGTTACTTTTTTGCTTTTAGAAAGATACTTAAGATGCATGTTTTTTAACTGGACATTTTTTTATAGCTCTGCAACTTTCTGACATCCCCCCCCTTTAAGGTCTTTAAAAGGTTGCCATAGTAACACTTGATGAGAAACAAGATTGTCCATTCTATTAATTTATCTTTTTTTTATGCTAAACTATGTTCTATTGTTTGTTGACTTTATGACCGTAAAGAGAGTGTATGATTTAGGTGAATCTAAATGAACTTTTTGTGTACATTTAATTGAAATATTGATAGATATATTTAAATATGATGCTATTCCTTTCGTTCCCCGTGTTACCACACTCTAGAAAATATTTCTCCAGTGTTTTAATGCTTTCATGTTTTTCTGTTTTGCCTTTTTAGCATTAGCCAAAAGTGCTTTTTCTTTTATGACTGGTATTTATTTCTTGCACCTGTTTAGTTTTCTTTTAATTATTTATAGATTGCTAATTCAATGAGGGATAACCGTCAATCTGTGTGCTATCCTCCCAAAGTGAGTGTGCCTTACAGGTGACTCAAGTTAAAACAGTACCATACACTGCACCAGTCACGTTCGGTCACTAAACTTCTGAATCATGTTTACCAGAAACACTAGGAGACAATTAAGCATCCTTTATTTTTCTCCTTTCCATATAAATGTGTATATACAGAGAACTATATAAATCTTTAAGATGATGTACAGTGTAGGGTTGTGTTGGTGTGTATATATCCTGTATATGAATTCTAATTTTAGACTGCCACTGCACTGATTGTGTCCATGAATTATGAAAAAAACGTAGTTAGAATTCAGATGTGAAAATTTGTCGGCAAATAATTAACAAGCACCTCATGAATCAAAAGGTGAATTCTCAATGGTGTGAACAGCTCACAGCAGAGGCCTTAATCATCTCGAGGCCAGTAGATAACACTAGTGAAGGCTGAAAGCATCCTGCTCAACTATGAATTAACCAATCTTTGCAGAAAAAAGTTTTCTCTCGCAAATTCTAAGACAGCACCCACAGCCATGACTTTGATTGATGACATCACACCCTAAGTCCTGCTGCAACAACTTTGCACTCTTTTTACTCCACACTGCTACTGCTGCAGCCTCCGAACTGTCCATCTTTCTCATTCAGCAACATATAAATAAGTCTAAAAGCCATTCTGTGTGCATGTACACACACACACACATACACACAAACACAGATAAAGAGAAGTACCATGGCAATAATTTGGCACTAGCCTGGCTAATAGCCCAACCGTTAGTAGCAGATGCTTTTCTGTGTTTGAACTTGTACCTTCTGTGCTGTGACGGTTCGGTTTTGTTAAGTTGTGAGAAAAAGTCCCTCCTTCTTCGCTCCTGGGCTTCTGTGAAATAACTGCATTTCATGTGAAAGTGTCTCAAGCATCTTGTTTGAAGTACAAAGTCTGTCTGGTTTGTCCCTGATTGTCAAGTGTTGCAGTCCAGTTTGTTTTATTTTTATTCTTTCTTACAATGCGATTTCCCGTGTATGCATATTTATGTTCACACACATGCCGGTGTATCTGATCGTCTTCATGTTTACCCTTGTTGTCACTGCAGGTGTGTGTGTTCACATGTCCATTTGAAAAACTGTATCATCAATGTCCACGACCAAACTCTTCAAACACAGTTTACAGTTTTTTGTGCGGCCACATTTGTAAAGAGCGAGCTAAGTGAACGCAACATGCAGCTGTCTAAAACCTTCCAGTGACACCTTGTTTGTCAAATTGTCTTTTTCAGCATCTTGCGACTTGGCGGTGAAGACCTGTAAATCTACCAGTGTGCTCGTCGTCATTGCATAGCGTAATGTAATATTAACTGACAGTAATCCAATCTTACTTTTGTCATTACATGTCTGGTTAATAGATCTGTTTACAAAGTAGTGCTGTAGGTCAAATCTATTCATTCTGTGAACTTTGCACTTTAAAAACTGGATAACCTAGTGACAAAGGCAGCTTTTACATGGAGAAAATGCCTTATGAGTGCCATACCTGACTTTGCATGCTAGTAGTGTTGATGTATTGTACAATAAAATTGTCGGTAACCGTAAGCAATCTGATCTGTGTCTGGTTTTATTTTGTTTATGATGATGGATAAATATTATAATTATCTACCCTAATCAGTAAATTAGCTGAAATATCAGATGTCATTGTTTTGGTAGACTACGCTGAGAAGCCTTGAGTGCTATTCTTGATCTGCCTGTTACACTATACACTAGTGCTTGTTATTATATTTGTTCTCCAGTTAGAGGGTATGTAACCATATGGTATTTATTTAAGTAGTGTCATTGCTTTGCTTTGATTCAACAGAATACAGTAGCCACAAAATTTGTAATTAGCTGAACTAGAAACATTGAAATTAACCAATTATTCAACAAAAAAAATGGAAGGAATATATATTGTTCAATGAACAACTTGCTTTGTTCAGATGAATGTTGTGTTGTGCTTACTGCATTTACTGTAGGGATGGCTGTCTTTGAAAGAATGTCCATATTTTTCTATTCTGTGGTTTGTACCCAAAACATACAGTATCCCTGCAGTAATGCTCTGACATGCTTCTTCAGAGACCAGCTAACTCTGCTGCAGACTTTTTTTAGTCTGGTTGAAATGTTACTTTCACCGATTTGCTTTGCAAGATCTTTGAAAAGCATAGTTTTGGAGGAGCGGTAACTTCGGGTGGCTAAAAAATAAAACCAATATGAAAGAGCCGAAAGAACTGCCTTGAGTAGCCACTTGAGGCTGGCTTTAAAACAGTGAACATTTCCATTGGTCTACAAGACATAATAAAACACATTTTAAAGCAGGCTGTTTAGTGGCAAATTGGCTTGTAGTTTGTAAATGGTGATGTTGGTGCCTTATGGTGTGGATATATTTTAATACAGATTTCGTAAAAAATTTGTTGATTCGTTATTTAAGGTGTTCCAGAGAGAGGTGAGACAGTGCCTTGCCCCCTCGCCTCCCTGCCACCCAATTTCAGGCTCCACCTCCAGATCCGGACCCCAGGTTGGTGGTTTATTGCACAAACAACTACCAAAAAATCTTTGACCCTTCTTCACAGTAGGTGAAATTCTAGAATTATATTATTGATATGTTACTGATATACACTAATTAGCAAATAACAATGTCTTTGGTGATTTGAAACACTAAGTTCCCCAAAAGAAAGCTTTCAAGTCATGCAAAGAAGACAAAGAAGTCAGTGTGTGCGTTGAGGTTTTTATTCAGCATAAAAGTGCCTTGTCTCTTATGTTCAGTTAATGTTTCATTGAGACAAACCTTTGGCTAAAAAACATTGAACTACATGCTAATGATAATGACACATTTCTGTAAGTTAAGAGTAAGACCTGTGAGAACTAACATGCAACACCTACCACTTTGCACTACCCGGCCCACCCCCCACCCCCCAATTCATTGCATTACTCTCTGTGCATTCTTGTTAAAAATGTTCCTGAAGAGCCCAGCAAGCTGCCCCTGAGGTTTCTTCTTCCATGTCTTCATCAAGCTGCTGTTACGTTTAGAGGGAGGTGGGCTGCCCCATCTGAAGTGACTCATCCGATAGGTCCCATCTTTTCTGTGCTGGGCGCTCAACTGAGTCTGTGGTTTGGAGGCTACCCTCGCACTCAGCAATACCGGGTTTTGTTGACTTTCTCCATTAAGGCCGCCATTTGCTTCCTCCTCATTTATGCTCAGCTGCCTGCGGGCCTGAAAGGGAAACGTGTCCTCAAAAGAGCTTCCTCCTTCCAAAGAAGAGGCAAAAACCTTCACAGGCCGACGTTTACGGCCAGTGGGTTTGCCCCAGCGGAAATGCTCCATAGAATAGGAGCGTCGCTGGTTGCTGTGAGATTTTAGTATTGACTGTGAGATCTCGTCTTCAGAGACTATTTTGGACAGAATGATACTGAGTAAAAGGTCTTTATCGTTATTGCCCGGCATGCCCGATGCGTCAAGTTCTGGGAATTCAGTCTGGACCACAGACATGCAGAGGTGAATACAGTCCTGTGGGGGAAAAGACATATAGAAAACATTTAAAATGATCTGTTATCAGTAAGGCAATCGCAGCAAAAAGGCTCTAAGACAACACTCAAATGAGCTATCTACTGTAATTTTTCATAATGTCACTTATCTATTGAAGAAGATGCTTCTGTTAGCTGACAGCATGCCAACAAAAAAAAGAAAGTAAACTACTGTTTATGTCCTTGCCTTGCCTTTTCTTTTTTTTTTTGCTTTTAGTTTGCTGCCTTGGAATTTAACGACTTTGAATTACCCTGTGCAATAAAGTCAGTGTTTCCTTGCATTGTGCCAGAAGGAAGTGAGCGATAGAAGTCAACACGCAGAGTACGGACAAGAGATTTTGACCTACCATTATGTTCCCCTTGTTGCTGAGGTTGTTGCAGATAGAGCCATCCAAGCATAACGACCCAAAACCGGGGACGCACACGCATGCCATCAGCACCACGAAGAACCAACACACACACACCATCTTCAACCTGGTGTGGATGACAAAAAAAAAAAGTGAGGCTGTGAGCGGAAAAAAAAGAATTTGAAAACACGAGGAAAAAAAACCTGCAATGAAACGTAAGTCTCCACTGACTCAAGTATTCACTTAATCACAGCCAAACTGGATAAAGTTGGCACTTTGGTGAGGGAATACAGTAGGTGTCTCTCATTGTACTTGCATAACACTTCCTTCCTTCCTTATGTAACTTGTTATGTTTCAGCACCTCTGAGATAAGTTTTGTATTTGTAGCCCTGTGTGTCATGGCTGAATAACAACTGTGAGCTTACATACATCACATCTATAAATCTGGAAACCATGTATTTTAACAGGTGGTCTCGTTTTATTACAGACGTCCATCTCTATTAGAAGAGGCTGATTACAAATGGGCCGGGAATGTGACTCCCTCTTAAGAGTTCACAAAAGTGGGTTGTTGAAGATTCCTAGCTTTTTAAACGCTAAAGGACTGTATCCTAATGATTAACGAACAGACATGCATGTAGGCTTCAAAAAAGTACTAATTCAATGATTTGGGGAAAGTAGGTCAGGGACTTTATGATTTTCTCATCCATCCTCATCTGGAGTTAAGTTACACACACACACACATCACAGCTGTGTGATCTAGCTTCATTTATCTTACTTGCATCGGCCTTATTGTCTACTGTTCACTTATTTTGAGCCTTGGCTTAAGTTTATTAAGTTCTAATGCAAAGCTAGCATTACCTGCTATACATCACATTACAACGTATGTGTGTTCTGTGCCTGTATTTATTCACCTAACAACTTAACAAATGTATTTCTTTTTTGTGCACAGGGTATACCACAAGAAGACAAAAAAGCCACTGTGAACTGTTGAATAGAAACATATTTGTCCAGTGCCAAGCACAAGATCAAATAGTGGTTTTTCATGAAGTGATACAAAAAAAAGGCTGATTTTTGACTAAGTTAATTGTTCAAACAATGTGATTTGGTTTGGATGGTTTCCGAGAGAAATCAGCTGCTTTTCAGCTCTTCAGAGGACTGTTGTTGTAGTATAAAACATGCGATTCATCACAACAAATCCTGGTCTATTTATGTTAGTGTAGTAGAAATGAAACCAATGTGTGAAAGCTTATCATTCAGTAGCTCTGGGTTTATATTTAGAGAAGTTCTGAAAACAAGAAACACCATTTTCAGTTGATTATTGAATCATTTGTGATTTAGGCTGAATTGAGAATTCAGGGTGGAGGATGTTGCAGTTTTTTTGGTTTTTTTTAAAGTAAGCTACACAAGTCAAAATTTAAAAAAAATTGTTTAAGTTTAACAAAAAGCTCCCCATTCCTTTTCTGGCCACAATTGTTTGTATACAGTCCCTTAGCTGTGTTGTGGACACACTGTATTCCAGATATGTCAGAATTCAATGGCGTAAACTGATGTAAACAAGAATAACAGACAACAAAAGAAGAATGTAACAGTCTCTTTTCAAGGCCGAAATTCAGTTATGGTGGTGATGATTATTCTTGACGTCAGTGAATTTAGACTACAGATTTCCTCTCTTTTATTACCCTTTCAAACAGTAAAATTGATCTGCAGCCAAGAATCAAAGGGTCAGCGAGGTCACTGTGACTGCAGAGTCGCTTTGTGCTCCAAGTGTCCCTTGGTTCAGGGACAGTGATCAATACACAGCTATGAGTACACGCTGTAGGAAGTACACGTTGAAGGAAAGATTCATAGCGGTCCCACACAGTTCAGAAACGCTTTATTCATTCTTAATTGAAGAAGGTGTACAAAGCAACTCTTTGAATAGATAAAACCACCTTTATGACAAGTTTCTACTTTGTTAACATCAGTAAATCACCTCCCGGTACCCTTTTCAAAACATTTTCCACATTAGAGCATTTATCATTTAACACAGGCTGAGATTGTGTTCTTTCCTTTGTTGGAACATCTTTGTTATATCTCCCTCCCTTCTTCATTATTATAAGGAGTGAGTCCTTGGTGGGCCATCGCTTTTGCAACTCTGTCAGAGACTTGTCTCCGCTCTCCCTCTTTGGGTATGACTCACTCAGCTGAGATCTGCTCTCCACAGAAACACTCACTGATAAAAAAGATGCCTGAGAGCTGCCATTAAAATAGACTGAAGCCTTATGTGTTGATAATATACAGAGATATTTAAAGGATCTGTTAAATAGATGAGTTTCTTCAGGTGTATGAAACCAGAAAGCAATGCAAATGTCACTTAAGAGAAACATGCTTTTTTTTTCGAAGCTGTGTGGAAACTCAAAATAAATCAAATTTGAGGACAATTAAGAGCTGTAAATGTCAGAAAATGTCCAAAAAGCTTACAAACAGTCATCAATGCAATAGAGCTCATTCACACTGAAAACAAGACTCTCACAACAATTAGACACAATTTTCATGCAAGAAGCCCAACTTCAGGAATTTATTTTCCTTACCTTTCTCAATGGCTTGTTCTTTCCTCCTCTCGTTTTTTCTTCCTCCGTTTCTTCACAGACCTTCTTCACTGTGATCCCTCTCTTCCTCCTCTTCTGCCTTCTCTCTGCTCCTCTGTGAAAATGTTCAGCAGGA